CTTATATTTATCGTTTAAAAACTAATTAATAATTTTAATAATATTATTAAAAAAACCCAAATAATTATTAATATAAAAATCTTTAACAATATAAATTTTAATAATACTTACTTTATAAAATCTTAAAAAACTATACTTTAAAAAATATATTTCAAAATCTTTATAATAATAATGAATACATTAACCTTTTATTACTAATAACATACCCACCTTTTTACACAATAAGCGTTTACAATCATTACCGTTAAAAAATGATTTACATTTTATTACCTAATTATAAAATATAAAAATAATAATATATATATTTAATATTAAATAAATATATTATTTAAAAACGTTAATATAATAAATTGTTATTATAATAATATTATTATTACTTTAAAAATCTTAAAAAACTATATTAAAAATTTAACATTAATATTTATATTTCTTCATGTAAAAAACGTTTTAATTAACTTAACAAAATTATTTATTAATTTTTTTAATATTATTATTTTAAGAAAATTTATTAACTTTTTTAAATTATTAATAATAAAAAAGAAATTTATTACAATTTTAAAAATTATATTTTTTATATTTCTTAAAGATTTTAAAATATTTATTAACCTTATAAGCTATATAAAAAATAATATCTTTTATTTTGTAAAACTAGTAAAACCATTAAAAAAACGAAAAATTATATTTATTTGTTTTAACTTACAAAAAAAATTTATAAAACAAAAATAAAAACGATAAATCAATAATATTTTAATAAATACATTATTTAAAATTAAAAGATTATCTTTTAAAAATTTAAAAAATACCTTTATTAAATATATAATATTATATTTTCACAATTTTAAATAATTTTTTTATATTAATTTTAATATATTATGTAAAGATATTAATATATTTATTTATTATATTAATAATAAAAATTTATTTTCTTTAATAAAAAATGGTAAATTATTTATATATATATTATAAACCGCTATTTAATTTATAGCCTTTTTATTTAAAATATTATTATTAACGAAATAATAATATTAATTAACGGAAATAAAAGTTTTTAAATTTATTTAAATAATAAAAAAGATTTATTATTACATTAATATCGTTTAAATAAGATTATATATATTTATAAATTATAAAATTATATTAAAATTAATAAAATATAACAATTTTATTAATTTTATAATAATGAATAATAAAAATCTTTATTTGGTATAAGTAATAAAATATATTAATAAATTTAGTTTTATAATATTTTATAAACTTAAAAAATTTTATATTATTTTAAATATATTATTACGCTTACCCATTATAAATTTAAATATTTTTAATAATAATATTAAAAGCTTTAACATTCTTTTAAATAATAAAGATAAATATTAAAAATCCTTTTTAAATAAAATATTTATAACATATAAAAATACATTTCTTATAATATAATTAATTATAAAGTATATAAAAAACAATCTTTTAATAGATTTAATATTTTAAAAAATAACTTTAATATAAATTTATTTTAAATTTAAAATAAAATTATAGTTTAAATATTTTATAAACCTTAAATAAAAAAGTATTTTTAACATTATTAAAAAAAATAAATATTTTAAAAATAACACTATAATTTTCCCCTTTTATCTTAATAATAAATTATTATAAAAATTATTAAATACACATAATAAACTTTATATTCTAAGAATATATTACCCCGAGATTTTTAAAATATTAAATAAGACTTAAACGTTTTAACCTTAAATTAAACCTTATTAAACCTAATATCAAGGACTTTTAAATAATAAATTTAATAAATAAAAAAAATAACTTGTATTAAAAGTGGATGATATTATGTAAAATGGGTGTGTATAATTATAAATAATATTTATATTAAAAATATAATTATATAATTAAGGTTAAAGTTACTTAATACACCAGCATTAATTTATAACCTTTTTTTAAATTTTATCAAGGCTATAAAATTAAATTCGACCCACGAAATAAAGGTTGGGACCTAAAAAAAAAGGAAATAAAACAACACAAGTAAAGATCGAATCTTAAGCCTTAAAAAAAAATTTCGCATTACCTAAGCTATTAAGGCTATTAATCATCAGCCTTATGGTACAACCTTCCCAATATCTTAAGTATTATTAAATTTTAAATCGTATTTTAAATAAATCTATATACCGTGTAATTTAACCAACTTGACTAAGATCGATCAGGTATTTAATATTATTAAATCATATCCTTTAACCATATAAAATCGTATAGTAACGGGTCCGATCGTAATGTTTGCTATCGAATTAAATATGTATAAAAATCGTCGTACGGCTTTATTTTCTTTACAATAGATTTGGTTGATCTTATTCCTTCTCTTATTCCGATATCGTATAACCCTCGTAAATAAAGTTATTTACCTCCCTTAATATCTTAATATTAACTTAAATAAGCCTCGATATTAATTAAGTTTTTACCTCTTTTATAATAAACCTAGTAACTTATTAACTAATTAATTTGTTTCCTTTATTATTAACTTTTTATAATTAATTGTTTCGTATATTAGGTATAATATAACCTAAAAAACATTATATACTGTCCTTAAATAACCTGAAACATAACTTTAAACGTGGTAACTACCAATATTCTTGCCGACTTTATCCCCGTATCCTTTACGCATTTAATAAAGCTACCTTTTATCTCTTAGTATTTGACTAGCTGAGATGCGCCATAGCCCTTACGTATCTTAAAACTAATAACTGAATCCTAATATAATAATACTTCTTAAATCGTATCGTATTTTGTATATCTCAACTTAAGGTATAAGAATATCGATATCTCGGGGATTGTATTGACTTGATCAATAAGTAACGTGATTGTTAAGGCTCTCGATGAGGCTCTCGATGAGGCTCTCGATAAGGCTGTATCGTATCGTATATATTGACTGATATATCAAGACATGACTGAATTGACTGATAGGCAAATATCTCTGAATAGGCTGATATGACTGATATAAGGCTTGAATCGTCTGATCAGGTCATCTAGCTTATATTCAGGCTATCGGCTAAGGGTATCGATGAAGCTATCGTGGAACTGGCTATTGACTGATATATCGTAGGCCTTGTGGACTATGGGATCGTAGACCTTATTAACTATGGGAGGCTACCCGATCAGGCTACGATAAGGCATTTTCGATAATAACAGTCCTTTTAAAACTGATATTGCAGGTTTAAGTTGCTAAAGGTTGCCATTAAATAAGATTTAAACGTTTTAGCCTTAAATCAAGCCCTATTAAACCTAATATCAAAGACTTTTAAATAATAAATTTGATGAATAAAAAAAATGACTTATATTAAAAGTGGATGATATTATGTAAAATAAATGTGTGCGACCATAAATAATACTTATACTAAGAATATAATTATATGATTAAAGTTAAAGTCACTTGATACACCAGCACCAGTTTAATACTACACGGCTAAAATTATTTTAATTATAATAAAATTAATAAATAACTCATATACTTCATTATCAATTATAAAAAATTTAAAAGATATATAAAATTTTATTTAAAATATTTAATTATAAAATTTAAAAATTATTTACTTTATAATTCTTTATAATCAATTATTAATTTATTTTGTTTATTTTATATAATTATTATTAATATTACCTTTAATTTATTGAACTGGTGCTGGTGTATCAAGTGACCTTGACCCTGATCATGTGATCATATTCTTAGTATAAGTACCATTTATGGTCGCACACACCCATTTTACATAGTATCATCCACTTTTAATACAAGTCATTCCTTTTCATCATCAGTTTCAGCATCTAAAAGTCCTTGATATCAGGTCTAATAGGGCTTGATCCAAGGCCAAGACGTCTAAGTCTTGTTCATTATTAAAAATTAAAAATAATAAAAATATCTTTAATATTATAATTAATAAATTTTTAAAGGTTATTATTATTTTATTAAAATAATATAATTAATTAATATTTAATTAAACTAACGCTTATTATAATATTTTATTAATAAATAATTAAAAAATTTTAAAAATTATAATATTTAATAAAAATTTAAAATTATATTAAAATAAAACTATTATATGTTATTATATATTATTTATAAATTAATAAATAAATAAAATAATTTATTTTATAAATTAATTTAATTTTTTATTATTATTTTAATAATTTTAAAAATAATTTATAATAAAAAAATTATATTTTATGTTTATAATATAAAATTAATTTAATATAATTATTACCTACTTAATATAACTTTTTAAAAATTATTTATAAATTTACTCCTAATATTATCCTTTAATTTTTACGCGTTTTAAACTATTAAAATTTAATATTATAATTATATATTAAAATTTATAACGTAATTATAATTATAATAATAACTGTTAAAAAATATTATAATTTATAATATAAACTTATATTCTTTAAAAAAAATAATTATATTTTATTTTACCTTTATAAAAAATATAATATTTTTATAATAATTATATTAAAAAAAATTTAATTAATAATATATTAAATTATTTTATATTTTAAAATAAATTAATTATTTAATATATAAATTTAATTTTTTATAATATTTTAAAATTTATAATATTATATTTATTAATTACCTTAAATTAACCTTTTTAATAAATATATTTAAAAAACAATTATTATAATTTAATTAAATAATTTTAAAAACTTACTAAAAATAAATTATTAAAAAATAAAATAATAAATACCTTATAAAATATATTAAATTAAAAAATAAATATATAAAATAATTATTAAAAAAAATTAAATAATAATAAAAATAAATTTTTAATAAATTTCATTATATAAAAAAATTAAAATTAAATTATATTATAAATATCCTTTTTATTTTATTTATTTTAATAATAAAAATATTATTTTTTTACCCGTTTTAAAGATATTATTATATAACTTAAGGTTATTAAACTTATTTAATATATATATAAATATATATATTTTATAAATATTAGATATTCTTCTTAAATACTTCATAATACAATAATAATAAAGATAATATAACACACCATTATACTAGATACCTTATTGGTTTTCAACCACTTTTATCAAATTCACCCTTGCTAATTGCGGCGTTTGGCATTCTACGAACATTTACGGAGTGTAATATAGATCATTCATCAAGGCGGTTGCCTCTCCCGCAACTAATAATTACACCCATATTATAAGATACATGTATCATGTATCATGTATCATATGAGGCCGGTACCAAAATATCATATATCGCGTACCGCACCCAGTTGACGTGTCAAGTGAAGCGTGGGACAAGGACCATTGCTAGGAAATATTCATCCAATAGGAGCTATAGAACCCCGAACAGCGCACCCACCTTTCCATCCTCTGTCGGTCGATTCGACTTAGTAGTAAACAGGATTCTCCGGATCGGTCAAGTCAAAGACAACAGCTGAGTGCGGCTTAGCACCGCCACGGTTTGCAAACTCGCGCTGGAACTCTATGCTGCGATTAAAGCTCAAGGACCCGTCGTCGAGGATGTCGATATACAGAGCCTTATAGTCGGCCGGGGTGTTGATCAGGCCGATATCTCCCGTCTGTACAAAGTAGTCCGTTACTACGATGTGTCGCTGGTCTGGCGTGATCTTTATGTAGTGGGGACCGATTGTAGGTTGGTCCTCATCCGGGTCATCCAATCGCTTTACGTTATTCAAGTCTGAAATGTCAAGAGCAGCGATATGGTCTGCTGTTGTCAACGTGAAATAAGCGAAGCTTCCATCCGCAGTAATATCAGAGCTACCAAGTCCAGTGGTTAGTTATTTGAACCGGGGACCATATATAGATCTTGCGTGGGATCACTTACTAGATGGCAATGGTATCTCGAGCCTTAGGTCCCAGATCATATAGCAGCTTCGCTACACCTTGCTTGCCGTTACCGTCCTTACGGAAGGGGTAAATAATCCACACCTGGCCTAAGTGCACTGCAGTTGCAAGAGCAGCTCCTTCGGGATTTCCGGGAATGAACTTGACATCTTGAATACCGCCACCCTATGTTGAACATTAGAAAGGGGTAGGCTAATAGTCAGGAAACTCAAAGTTGATATCACATACATCGGGGATCTCAATGGTGCTAATAATCTCCCGTGATGGAAGATCCCAGAGCCGTAGGGTGTTAGCTCGTTGAATTCCCAAACTCGGTTTTAAGATGCTCAGGGGGACAATGAAGTCAGAAGTAAGGATGATGTTCTTCTCGAAATCAACTGCTAAACCATGTGGAGAAAACTGTTCTCCGAGGATGTTAAGCAGGCCATCCACATTCTCGGGCCACTCATGAATGATGTTAAATTCAGCATCAGTTTCGACTAGCCTTCCTGGCGATGTGCCAAGAGCAGCTGAAGTAGAGATTAGCAGAAGTTAAATCATTAGCAGGATCAACGTATTAACTTACAGCCCATATAGGTGATGAAAAACCCTCTGCCGTCAGAGTTAGTACACCGATATTCAATACTTTCTGCATAATAACAGACTTACCCATCAGGTTTCGCACGGATTTCATCGACAATAGATGAAAGTATTCCACGATTGCTCTTCTTGAAAGTTGGATGATATGGGTCCGTAGTGTCGAAATAGAAAGCAGTGTCTTGCGTCTTTAGGAGGGATAACAGTCCGCCACCAATGAGAGTCTTCCCATCGAGAGAAGGGCCGAGATGATGTGGACTATTTCCACTTGAGGGGACATCTGTGACCCAAATAAGGGTTCCAAATGTGTCCTACTAATAGTTTAGCCACCAAAGCGACTCGTAAAGCTATACCTTGGGTACTCACGTCGTCAAGACTATAAGTAGCCAGAAAATCTACAGATTATTAGATAGCCCTACAGTGTTATGCAATGGTTAGGATACTTACCCTTATGTTTATTATCGCCAGAAGCAGTCCAGAAGTAACCTATCTTCTTAGGCTTGATGTTGCTTGCCTCAAAAGGGGGACTCTCCAATGGTGGCGTTGGAATTTGTAAAATAGGTAGAGGTGGAGCGTTGCTTGTCAGGGGTTCGGTGACACCAGGAATTGTAGGAATTAATGGAGGTAAAGACAGTGCCGAAACTGACGGTGCAGTGATAAATGCAGCAAGCAGTAAGGCTACAGAGGAAGGCATTATGGAGAATGATGTCCGACCTTGAAGGTAGGTTATCTCATAGATATTGGCTTATAGGGAAGAGACAGTAAGATCTGAGTTCAAACTTATAGCGAGGTGTCAACTGACTCCCCTTATATAGTGAAATATATCTTGGAAATTTCTATAGACTCTAGCATCACATATCATCGACAATCACAAGTCGCCTCATAGTTCCTGAATTTGATACTATCCCACGAAGTGTTGACGATCCCAATTCCCCTCAGATGTTGCCATAATTCATTCGAATAGCATCACGAAGCCCTCGATCAGAGTATTATCTCGACATCGACTACTAAAGTAATCAGCTACTTCAGCTACTTCGTATGAGGTCAAGTCTCGTCACGGGAATGGAAAAATTTGAAGCTCAAGTAGCCATATACAGACTTGATCAGCGCCTTGCATTAACCCCTTCTACAGTTCCCAGGACCTGGGTAAGACAATGGTCTTCTAAAAGAGGTCGATCTACATGGATATATATCAGCTCAGGCTACAGGCTGCATAAGTCAACATCACGATGCTCCGGCAAAGCTTAGCTTGTGCAGTGCCAAGCTATCAACTCTAATAGTCTGGATGACAGTTACCGGGACATGGGTTCCTTCTGGGTAGGCTAGTAAGGATAGAATCACATCTAAGTATAAGCTTTTGATCGTGGGGTGGTGGCCTCATCTTCTAATTATCGCCGACCTTACGAAGTAACCAAAGTTTCATATTAGGTGTAGGCGGCCAAAATAGTATTTCTCCTATTTACGTTCAAAATCACGTAACAGGCAGTGAATGTTTTTAAAACTAACAATCATCGCTTAAAGCCTTTTCCCCAAGGAGTACAATCTAGGAAATAGGTTATACAGTCATGAGTTTACTCACCGGTGCCTTATAGCTTGCAGTAATCATACGCCACTCTCACATTCTGGTTTTATATGGTGATATTATTCATAGAAGCTAAAGGCGAGAAAGAGATAGGTAAGCTACCTGTTAGTTATTATCCCTAAATGCAAGCGTAACAACTATCCTGTCATGAACGTCGTTCACTTGCCCCTTTTGGAAATAAACGCTAAGTAATATGCCGCGTTCTCCCCCTTGCCTTAGTTATGGATCTAGCTATTGAAAGCTACCACTATGTTTGTGTGCCGCAACGAAGCCGCAAGATGGCGCAAGCAGTCACTAGCAATTGCAAGATCATGATGGGCGCAGATAGTTCAAGATTTCATTCCTTCTACTGCAACCTTAGTGTATCACTCATCAAACTATGCAGAATTTACTCCCCATTGATGGCTCGCCAAGACATGACGTTATTTTAATATAGATGGTGCGTTTAGGAGCGCGGCTGATTATAGGCCCTCGCATATGAGCAATAGGCAACGTCACGCGGGAATCTCATCAAGTTCATTAATATCTCCGGGGTCAATATCGCTTGGCGCTGCGAAGTAGGTATTTGGGGCGTGTTTTTCTCGTGCATCGTAGAGTTAATACCCCTGGCTGGGCGTGAATAAGGAGAGGTGCCTAAAATTGGCTATTGCAATGGCGTGCCCTGCCGGATGAAAATCCGTATATTAGAAGGTGTATATAAGCCAGTAGCAGCTTATACTCGCTGCATGATCTCCTGAACTACATCCGCCCTGCAGCACTCTTATTTCTAATATCGCACTCGAGTAGCCAATATGAAGGTTCTCCAAACCTCCTTCACATTTCTCGCGGCATGGGGTGCCAGCGGCTCTGTTATAGAGCGTCAAAGCAAGGGTGGCTTCGAAGACGGCCAGCCGATTGACGGTAACGGAAAGGGTGCACCATTCTCAGGTACTTTTCACTATAGATATCGCCAGTATTCTGAACTATTATATTAACCATGCGCTTCTTAGGCGGGACAAACCATGCCCTTGACCTCCAGAATCCAGACAACCTTGGCCAGCAAAGCACCGATAATGGTGTTGTACCAAACCTCAAATGGAGCTTTTCAGACTCGAAGACGAGGATCTTGAGGGGCGGCTGGGTTCGAGAACAGGTTGTAACAGATCTACCCAGCAGTAAGCAGATCTCATCTGCTCAGCAGCATTTGACTAAGGGCTCGATCCGTGAGCTGCATTGGCATCGAGTGGCAAGTACTGCATCGACCGGATATAATATTTATTCACTAACAATATGACCTCAGGCCGAGTGGGGATATGTCTATGCTGGGTCAATCTTGGTTTCAGGGGTAAACCAGGATGGTCAATTCGAAGTTGCTAAGCTCGATGAAGGGGATGTTTGGTACTTCCCTAAGGGTGTAGCTCATACCGTCCAAGGTCTTGAGGATGAAAATGAATTCCTCTTAATATTTGACGACGGTAATTTCGATGCTGTGGGGTAAGTCATCGTCCTCAACCTCATCACCAGCTAACCCACGCTAACGAATCCAAGGACAACTTTTAATGTAGATGATTGGATTACGCATACTCCTAAGTCGATTCTTGCCAAGAACTTTGGCCTTCCTGAGTCTGCCTTTGGTTCAGTGCCGTCTCCAAACCCGTATATCTCCAACGGAACTATTGATCACCATAACGTGACTGGTGGCAATGGTGAGCTCACCGGCAATGCTTCATTCGCTTATTACTCGAAAGACCATCCTCTGGAAAAGGTCCCCGGAGAAGGCGGTACACTTCGCATTGTTGACTCGAAAACGTTCCCCATTGCGACAACGATAGCCGCCAGTATTGTCACTCTTAAGCCTGGTGGTCTGCGAGAGCTGCACTGGCATCCAAACGTAAGCCCTACGTATTATCTCCCGGTTTCGTATCTAAAACAGTTCTTAGGCCGAAGAATGGCTTTACTTCCATAAAGGTCAAGGGCGCGCGACCGTGTTTATAGGTAGCGCTGCTGCTCGGACATTTGACTTCAGAGCTGGAGATACGGGAGTGTTTCCGGATAATAGCGGTAAGCTTAGGTCTCAACTTCCTAAGACTTGTATAACTAATGAACCAAGGTCATTACATAGAGAATACTTCAGAAACCGAAGAATTGGTATGGATCGAGATATACAAGAGTGATCGAGTCGAAGATATCTCCCTAACCCAGTGGCTCGCTTTAACGCCAGCAGGTATCGTAGCCACATCTTTAAACATTCCGCTCGACGTGGCAGAAAATTTGCAGAAGGAGAAGCAAATCCTCATCAAAAATAGGTGAGTGGCTTGTACGACTCGTATAAGCTCTCGCATGGAAAGACACTGTAGCCTTCTTCATGTTGGTGCAATAATTCAGAACTTAAGATGTAATTCATAATATGATAGCCTATCGGCGTTGCTACTGCACCCATGTCCCATGTATACATGCCATGCATACATGGCCTTCTCTTACTCGTCAATGGTCCTGTCCTAAGCATAACAAATGCGTCGTGCGGCAACAGTCGACGACCTCTAAGGACCGCTAGCATATACTTCTACCTCTCTATTGAACTTCAAACTCCACGTACGATAGGACCTACTACTCCTGACTTACATCCACCTATCTTGAAAAAAGAGATATATATATGTCGAGGTAGAAGAGAGACCGTAGATCTAGAAGCTATATTCTCACGGTTGTGTCTTAGCAGTAAGGCTAGCGTGCGACAAAGCCACTACTAGGTAAATCCATTGTGTTGGGTGAGACCAATGTTACCATCATCTTATACGCACATAGCCCCCAATAACTACCTAACCAACAAAATCTCAGCTGACATAAATAGCAAAGCTGGGTGCCCAAGAAGTGCAACAATTGCACAGCACCGGCCACCCCAGCATTGTCAGCCCTAACAAATAGAGAACCTTAACTCTCAAAAGGTGAGCAGTCATAAAGTCAATAAGGCTCGCCCCATCGAGTGAGTATGTTAGTTTCCTTTCTCTCTCGGGTTTTCGTTTTCTCGATCCCAAGTTACCCTCCATCACCTTCAACAATACCACCAGAGGAAATCATAAAAACAGAATGTCAAGATTGTCGCTTGCCCTCAAAGTTGCCGTAGGCCTGCTTATGGTCGATTCGATCATCGAATTAGCATTTGTCAGTAGCATGGTCGCATGGTTACATCGGACAGCTAGTAAGGGGTTCTCATTCAACTATGGCGGCTCAACATATCATCTGGCCGGCGATCCAGTTCATATAATGACTGACCAAGGGCATACGAGTAACGGCGCCGCTGGAACTGCCTTCGTTCTCATCGGGCTGGGCGGCATACTCGCATTCTTGCTCCGGTCCTGGTCTCAGAATAAATATGGCGAGCTGGGAACCTTCGCACGATTTATATACTACCTTTGGGTATCGCTAAACATTCCGGCACTCCTCCTCACTACTGGGGCACTCGCCTATGTGTTCGCAGTTACAAACGCGCACGAGGGGCAAAGCATTGACGTCCCCTTAGCTACCACTTTGGATAGTAGCAAGTACCCATTGGAGTTCTGGACGCCACAGAATTGGTTCTCGGCTGTGCTTCAGCTAGACCTAGTCGACGCAAGAGACGATATAGAAAGTCACGTACGCGTGATGAGGGGGTGGCAGTACAACTTGATTCCGATGTTCATCGTTCAGCTTGGCGTTACTATTCTTGCGGTATGGAAATTCATCGGCTGGCGACGGCAAGAGGTCTTTAATCGCGGGGAGAAGTAGTACAAGAGGGTATTAGGTATCCGCAAATTACCTAGTTAAATGTCTTTCGTGTTTGGAATTCAGGTATGGTGGAGAAATCTGGCAAAATATCGTTGTGCTTCTGTTGAAATAAAGGGGGATACTCTCGGGTATAAATTCGGCTTGTTCGTCTAATAAGAGACTAGCTATACTCATTGTGTTCCCATGATAGGTTTCTATACAGCCGCTACTAGCGCGCTACTGGTATATGGATGCCTGGTACAATACCTAAGGCATTAACCCAGGTTAAGGATTTATAGTAAAAAGAATAGTTAAACATGCCTATTATCTTGGCATTTTTGTCTTAACAACTCGGTTAGTCAGATATTATTAACATATAGGCCGTCCAAGTGTCTAAGTACAAGTAAGAATGTCGCTAAACTACCTCGTACATGTAAGTCAAGCATTGACATAACACCGAGTTACACATGGATAATGGATATTTGGACTTGGAGAGCCTCGAGGCACATTTATATTATTGACCTCAAAGTACATAAACTAACCCCACATTCTCTCTTCCTGGACACTTTGTGATACAGCACGACTGACACCCACAAGGCTGAAGAACAGTGGTACAGACAAATTCATCAAGATTTAGTGTCACGATCAGATGAAAGGTAGTGTCAAAGGAGGTGAACATTAAACCTAGATGTTACGGACTCTTAACTTCCGAATAGAACAACTTCATCTCGACTTTCTTGATATGTAGCTCGCAATTTAGCGCGCGGGGCGGCTCAGGGTATCAGGGGTACGATTTATGGGTGCAGACGGTGGCATGTAGCGAATGGCAGGGATCATCGTGTACATGCATAGCACGAGGTCCCTTGTTCCAAAGTCCCTGACCGTATTGCCCTTTACTTTTTACCCCTCCGTCATCCTTTCATTCCTTCTCGTCAGCAAGAGGCCTCTCAAATACCCATATAAAATTCGTTCAGATCTTACCACAGCTAGTTACTTTCAATCCTATTAACATTGTACAAAATATAAACAGAAACACGTTGTCGTGATATTCTAGATATCGGGGCCTACTTCGCACCGAATATGTCAAGCCAGGATTACTACGGTGGTGGTGGTGGTGGTGGCTATCCACCATCCCAGAACCAATACCCGCCTCAAAGCTATAACCCTCAACAGCAACAGTACCCGGGTCAGAGTCCTCCTCCAAACCAGTACCAGCCTCAAGGCTGGAGTCACGACAATAATCAATACGGCGGGCAGCAGTACGGTGCACCACCGTCGTCACATACCCCGAACTCTTACGGATCACCGCCTCCGGGCCAGTACTCGCCTTATCCGCCGCAACAACAACCTTACGGTGCACCCCCACCACAAGGGAGCCATTCCCCTTACTCTGGCGGCCCTCCCCCTTACGACAATCATTCTAGCTCGGCGCAGGGCCAAGGCTACCCGCCGCAGGGTTACCCGAATCAATACCCTTCTCAGCAACAGCACCAACAACACCAACAACCGCCGTACCAGCAGCAACAACAGCAGCAACAGTACCAACAGTACCCTCCTGGGCAACAGGGTGGTGACTACCCGCACGATCCCAACACTGGTGATAGGGGACTAGGGTCATTAGTAGGAGGCGTACTCGGAGGTAAAAAAGGCGGCGGCGCCCCACTAGCAGCCATAGGTGCTGCAGCCGCTGCGCATTACCTTGGCGGTTCTTCTCACGGAGGTAGCCACGGAGGTCAAGGGGGTGGATATGGAGGAGGTCATGGCGGAGGACAGGGGGGCATGGGTATGGCCTCGGCATTCGCTCCCGCTGCTGCATTTGCTGGCGCCTATGGTGGCAGCAAGTTGCACAAGAAGGACAAGAAACATAAAAAAGACAAGAAGCACAAGGGCCATAGCCGCAGCAGCAGTTCGAGCAGTGGAAGTAGCAGGAGCAGCTAGGTAAAGCCAATGGGTGGGTGGCCTACCACAAAGGCGTGAGATATATACTGAGCGAAGTTTGGGGATGGGTGGATAGGGATCACGATTTCGTAACGATAAATTGGATTCAAGCTTTATGATTTAGGTCATCTAGAGCCAGGGTCTTTTCATCACACTTCCATATAACGCTTCGCCAAGCCTACGATCTTAAGCCACTTTTGATTATGATTATCGTCTCGTCGGAGCAAACGTCGCTACCATCGAATCCAGTTGTGACACGTTCTCTTTTAACAGGTACTATTCTGGTAGGTGTAAACCCCCTATGAAAATACCAGTTCTTGTTGATAGCTTGTTAAACATAAGTGAATCACGTATGCTAACTATTACAGCCCTCAACTAGCGACTAATCCCATGTAACGGCTCACTTGCCATACCTCAAGAATCTAAGGTATGTTCAAGGCCTCGTACATCCACTGCCGCCCACCACCGTCCTTTTTCTTAGCATCAACCCTATACTCGCCATCTCTATCACTATCATGAAGCTCCAAATACTCCCGCGTGCGTAATCTCATCCACTGCAGACGCTCCAGAATACGAAACTGCAGCACGAAGCGTTTCTGGCGCGCGCGAGACCAACCCGGCCGTACGTCCAGACACAGACATAGCAGGTGCGCAAAGAACCGCGGCAGCAAGCCCTTGTGCTGCCCGCCGAACAGCTCCAGCCGGTCCGGCACGATGGAGACCTGCAGGTCACGCGCGTTGTTCATGTGGAAGAGGGCTGTGCTCATCACGGCGTAGATCGTGTGCCGGGGAGGTACTGTCGGAAAAACAGAGACGGCGATGTTAGCAATGTTTTTGGGCTGAAAGGAATTACGTGCTGTAGACGTAAAAAGGAAAGGGGGTTGGATACACCTACCAGGACCCCGTAGGGTCTCTTCGATCTGCTCGCAGATATGGTATACAGTCCGGTAGCGAATCCGGCTCATGAAATGTTCTCGCGAGTCCACCTCATCGATGAACCCCGGTGCTTTCACGTGTCTCCAGAATTCTCGGATATCCTTTCTGCGCGATATCCTGTCAACGTGATACGTATCATGCCAGATGAGTTCGTCCCACTGTGCATATACGTTTCCGTTAGCTAATGATATGCAGACCGTTATGTTGGTACAAGATAGGCAAAGTCATCCAGGGGTAGAGGAGTCCTCCTTACCTCGCGATCCCAGATACTAATCGTATGCACGCCCTTCTGCAAAGTATTCTTACGATCAATCCTGTGCTTGTGTATAAAGCATAGAAAACGATATCGCGCGGGAGGGGAAAACTCCATTGATTGATTGTTATTGTTATCATCGCCTCCGTAGCGTATGGACCGCCATCGCCGCTTCAAGTCCTGGCATACCTCGAAATCTAGCTCGATTTCGGGGTAGTTTGGTAACAGGTCGTTCTTTTCATCAAGCCGGGCGGGTGGGATCATAGTGATCGGGTAGAAGTAGGCCCATGGCCGCTCTCCATCATCGTCAGTCCCCTGGTTGCAGTTATAGGCATTTAGTGCGAGAGGCACTGCCTCCAGCCGCGGGTAGCTGCTCCGAGCCAGAGCCTTGAGTACAGCTACTAGGTCACAGAACTCATCGTCACTTAAGTCTGGGAGATTCCGATCATTGTCGCCTAAGTACATGAACGGCACCGGCTTAATAGGAAATGGAAATGACGAGGACATTATGTGTATTATCTGTATTTGTACCTTGCTTGAAGGAGTCCAGTTCCTAGTTGGTTGCTAAGGACGGTAGAGTTCCAATAAGCTAAGTCTTAATAGCAAATATATCTTATCTTAAGGTAAGGAGTTATAACCATGATTCATCTAAAGGATAACTATGTTATTCTAATAGTGCCCAACGCCAGAACCAGAAGATTTTTACCAGTAGCAGCTCTGAATGTCAGGATCACACCGTATTATAGAACTCAAAGAGTTCTAGGCACCTAGTCTCGTATGCAAACCATGAGATGATATCTTTTATTCTAATATTCTGGAGGATTCTACCGGATGGTATTTGGTCCTCTTCCCTATGAGACATCAGACAAATTAGTGTAAGCAAACACGACGGGTTTAAATCCCATAATTACGCCTGATGACTCTAACTTCGTGAGGAGAACTAACTAGCTATAACTTCTCCACGTCACCCACCTCTTCCATCAGCATCTTATCTTCTACCAGGGCCTCTGGGAAACAATATTAACGTCGAATACCTGAGAAATAAGACTTGCAACATTTCTTGCTGTCAAACCGGCAATAGTTGAAATCGAATAACTACCTGATCATCACCATGTGATACAAGTCCATGTATTCATCACACACAGCAAATATTTGTCGTAGTCCTATATGCCCCGTTCCGCAATACATTCGAGCGACTACTATCAAGCACACCTATCAAGCACACCACGAGCCATGATACGTTTAGCTAAACCATTTCTTAAACAACAACTAAGCATGGCACCTTGGTGCGCTTGGGTATCTATATATGAAAATCAAAAACCTTCTCAAAAACACCATACACGCCTAACTCCCTCTACCCGCCTGGATACATGCGGCCGAGGAATCACACCCTTCAATAAGCTCAATCCACATAGACACCAAGCCACTCCACCTGTTCAACACAAACAGATGAATCAAAATGGCACTTATCGCACCAGTGCTGCAACTCGCGCTGCCGCCGCAGAGCCTCCTGGTCCTCAGTGTCAAGCGGGTACGCCTCAGGGACGCAATCAACCTCCACTCCACTACTCTTTAGCATCAACATGATTTGTCCCCAGTGAGCCAAGAGCGTCTCATCCACACAGCAGAACGCATCATGTTCGTCAAAGAACTGCAGATCAGGATGGTCCTGGTGACTTCTCGCATGTGTGAGCTGTCTAGCGAAATTTGGTGATGGTCGCAAGGTGAACTTTTTCAGGTTCTGCAATCCCGCCCCGCTGCCTACGTGCTGTGCGAACTTAGAGACGCATTGTAGGAAATTGGGTGTGACGTCGTAGAGCGCGAAGGACTCGATGGAGGGCGGCAGCATTTCTATTAGCCGCATCTCGTCGCAAAAGATGCCTTCGTTGTTGAACCCTGGATACGCGTCGAACCAAAGCTCCCAGATGGTCTGCTGCGTGAGAGTGATGTTTCGAAGATTCCTTGAGAAGCACTTTAATGCCCTGATGAAGTTATATACGAGCAGTGTCTCCGGGGGGGCTGGATATGCTTGTATACCCCAGGTCCTGGCACAGAAATGCTCGCGCATATCGATCTCGAGTGTTTCTAACGATCCCCTTGACGGGCTCATCATTAGGTTAGATAGGATATCCCACGGGGAGGCGTCTGATCTCCGCTTCATCCAATCATCTTCAGGATGTACACCTTGCTGCAAGTATATGCTGTAATAACCCGAGCGGAACACAAAGGTTTTCAGGTTCGACGAGCAGTTCCTGACCGCGTTTCTTAAGCTTTGGCTCGAAATCCGGCAGGATAACAGGCGAATGATGCGAGCTGAATCGAGATGGATGCTTCGGTTACACATCGCCATGTTCACGAACTCGAATACTTCGACGTTCCTCGAGTATTGGGTGTAACGTTTAAAGTGGCCCATATCAAGGCTTGAAGGGATGTCCGAGTATCCCACTACCCTGATATGTTTGAGGGCATTAAATCTCGATACCGGCGCGTTTATGGGAAATAAGGGCTCTAAAGTACCATATATAGAATAAGATGATAGGTTTGGGAGACTCGCAAGCAAGAGATACATCAGATTCGTACGCCCCTCGTGGATTCTAGAGTTGTCTCTTGCATCAACATTTTGTTGTTGAATGAGGTCGCTACTATAGGAACTTGGTGGTAAAACTACTAGCGCTCGTGCCCTTGCATCAAAGGCCCGAATATGACGACTTTGAAGCAGGCCGTTATGATCCGAGGGACGCAGCCTAAATGTTGTCTCGTGGGATGCTACATCCGGATTTCGAAGAATGGTGTAAATGTAGGGAATGATGCCCTCCTGAAATGGATGTCCTTTACATCTGGCTAGGACCGGCGCCGCGATGATGCTAAGTGATTTGCATACTAAAGTCAAGTTAACTAGATCGGTAACGGATTTGCGCGCGGCATCATAGTCTCGAAAGGTCCGGTAAGGTGGTAGGGTATCCGGTAAGAAGTACGCGCATATGTTAGAGACCAACTCCACCGGAAGGTAGAGCAGTCGAAACGGAGCTTCGGCCATAATAGCTTGGGTATATACCTAGGTAGGTAGGTAGGTAGGTACCTTATATATAATTATAGGTAAGCCTACATCTAGGTATTACTATATTTATGAGGAAAAAATTGTAAGTATGGAAGTAATATGAAATCAAGGATTAAAGATCAAGATATAACAAGTGACATATGACGAGGAAGAAATAAGGGAAGAAAAAATATGTTAAGATCTGGGTATAACTACCTACCTATATAGTAGGTAATCTGTTAATGAGGTTTAAAGTTGAATAGTTGCACGAGTATAGCGAGCGTATAGCGAACGCAGGGGCTTACATACCTGTTCGAGGGGTCATAGCTTTACGCATTTTATTGGTTCTGAAGCTATAGTAGATATTTGTAAGTGATCGAAATTGCCCATGACTTCTTCAGCTTTGCTCGGTTACTTTTGGGGTTTAAGCAAATCTAAAGTTTGATGTTTCCCCTTCCCCTTTAATATCAACAAGATCCTTAAACTTATAGACGCTTTGATGTAATATAGAAGATAGAGTTCAAGTACATTTATATCTCCATACTGCCTACGTACATGTATGTACTATGTAAGCATATAATGACTCTGACAATACCTAACACATAGGCGCAATACCTCACAGCTAAGTACAACTATAGCCTGGGTGTTATACAACTTCCCACAAATACTTGCGCCGAAGCTCTATCAATTCTGGACCGTGCTTCTTCTCAAGCCGCTCTCGAGCCTTTATGCGCTTCCTCTTCTCCTTATCATCCTTTGGGGGCTCGTCCGATGTCGCCAACTTTAATGCATCATCGTCGCGCCGTGTCCAGACTCCGTGGGTCCTCTGTGGCAGCTCCTCACCCCGTTTCAGTATTTCCATGACCTGACCGGCGTCACCAAGCCGCCAGGTTGTGGCCCGTAGCGATTGGAGCACTATCCCTCTCGGATAGCCTAAAGAGCAAAAACGATCGATGACATCTTCCGGCGTTTCTTTGGGCGAACTTAAGCGACGTGGCGGTTGAGACCGTGCTAGGCGTGAGTGTTGAGTATTTTCTCTGGGAGCTACTGCTGAAGTAGAAATACCACTAGTAGGCGGTGATTTTTGAGTATAAGATTTTGGCAGAGAACGACGCTTAGTTTTCTCTGCATTATTGACCTTTACAGGAATATAGTTGCTGTGACTAGTAGTTGTTATTTCTGCCATCTCGTCATCGGAGTCTTCTTGGGAAGGATTCCGGGTTAATCTTTTCGGGGTAGGGGTTCCTGGATTGGCGATCTGGATTCCAACCTTGGGCGTAGGTGATGCATCTGCAAGATCCGGAGATATCGCATCGGACTCTTGATGAAGCTGCTGCGACGGAGTAATGTTGCATTGCGACTCCATCTCAAAATTTACCTGGGTTTCAAAGACTGGAAGCTCAGGGACTGTATCTTGAGATTCGTTCTCTTCAGTTCTCTTGTTTACAGCACGCTGGGTCGATCGTCTAGCGCTAAGGGTTGTGCCGTTATCAGCTTGAGAGCGCAGATCAGAAGCTTGATTCATATGCTCGGGAGTAGACGGAATCTCCGTGTCCCGATTGATTCTTCGCCGCTTAGGTGACGGCTGTGGGTATGTATGATCGGATGATGATCGATGTGCGTCAAATGATCGCTTTAATGAGGGCATGATTGGTGGTGATGATGGTAAAAGTTCTTTAGCATTTGACTCATCATCTTCATCATCTTCGTCCTCGCTATCATCGTCCGGATCGCCATTGAAACTCTTCCGAAGTTTTTCATAAGCTGCAAACGTCTTCTGAATTTCTTCAAAATCAGCAAGATGTTTCTCATAACACTCTCTGATCTCATCGTGAATGGTTTCATGCCGAACCCAGTCGAACCCAAGCTTTTCCGCAATTTGTTGCCAGTCGCGCTCACTAGGGTCCATCTTCTGAGAGACGACAGCTTCCCATAAATCCCAAGGTTCGAACGTACGCCCTTTTATCGTGAACCAGGGTACCAATTGGAGTTCTTGGTCTTTCACATATTCCTGATAGTTGCGAAGGAATTCCTCCTTCGTAAGAAATGATTGATCAAGGTCGACTGCTAGTTCTTCTAGTTCCTGTATAGGCGCCCGAGGTGTTGTCCGAACTTCAGTATGAAGAATCTGGGGCCCTTTACCGTTATTAACTACGTTATCCTCGGTCGGACTAGTAACTACTCTTGGTACTTCATTTACGGTATGCAATACATGTGTCGAACTCCGCGATCGATGGCTCTTTAGCGGCGTTGTTATGTTGTGGGGCTGTTCGGCTTCCATTCGCGTACCTAGTACTGCTTTTGCCGTTTCTTCACGCTCTTCTTCAGGTTCTTCTTCAAGTTCTTCTTCAAGTTCCTCTTCGGGTTCCTCTTCAGCAGGACCCATGATAAACCTCGGTTCAAGTACCTTAGTCCAACGAGTCCTCCATGATTGCTCTGTATGATGCGGGAACTAGACAAGGTTAGCAAGAAACGACGTGAAGGCGGCACGAAACCTACGTCGTTAGCGAGATCACGGAAAATCTTCAACCCTGCAATTGGCTTGCCCTGACGTCTGCATTCCCTGATGTGTTGCGTGAGTATCTCATCGTCCTTTTCGGTAAATTTAACCCGCCCCCGGGTAGCTGCAGCATTCCCAGTAGGCACGCGCCTCCCAAGAGATCCAGGAGTCTTGGGAGAAGCATGGGTTGAAGTGTCAGCCGTTCGCCTAGTTGGCGGAGGAGACGGCGTTGTATCAGACTCTTTCGGCCGAGGGAGATGTTGCAAAATTTTGACCCACCGGTCTCGCCACGACTGATAAGTATGGTGTGGATACTAAGTTGTTCAGCTTGCTGTTAACATATGGAGAGTGTGAATATAATAAACGCCTACCTTATCTTCGAGCTGTTTATAAATTACATTCCCTGCTACTGACTCGCCCTTTCTCTCGTTACTGGCAACCCATCTCCTGAGGATCAGGTCATCCTCGGCGGTGAACTTAGTCCTTGTAGTCTTTAGAGGAGCGGCCGAACCAGAAGGTTGAGGCTCACTCCGTTTAGTAGGCACACACAAGTAATCTTCGGGTTCCTTCAGAACGCCAGCTTTACAAGACTCTTCGATCCACTTATAAGAATATGATCCAGGTGGACAAGCATTCTTTTTAACATGGTCGGCGATCAGATAATCGGCGTTCTTCTCGAGAGGAACCACCTGGCCCCCGTTGTTCTAAATAGTGTTAGTGTAAAGGATGGCGGATCAACGAGTTGTATCTTCCTACCTGAATCATTTGAACAAAATGGAGCCGCTGTGGCACACGATGTCCTACCCAAAAACTCATGTCGCTAAATAGACCATTTTGAGAAGGGTTCGTACGGGCTATGGCCCCTTCGTAGACGATAGGGGTTGACATCCTGCTAACTCTCACTTAACCTCGTAACTCTGAAGAATTGTTGAGATAAAACTAGGTGGTCTTGCGGAGTGCAGTATAAGCGTCGACTGAAATAAAATTCACTCGAACAGCTTAAAAATAAGTTGATAGCCCTAGGTTAAGGAGTTAAATATTGTAAGTTCGTAAGTTCGTAGTCCTGTTATCTTGATAACTTCCAGGGTTTTGGCTTTCATAGCGAACGCGTGTATAATGTTTATTAGGCAACGTTGGGCACGTTTTCTGACAACATGGGGTCTAAAATATAGTAATAAGAGACGAAGAGACGTGTATCTGGGCAAAGTAGGCCTTTTATTGTGGTATAAAAAAAGGTCAGTCTTCAGTTTGTATAAATAAAAAAAAGTCCCGTGAATAGAGTTTCATAAGACGCGTGATGCGGATCGCGATTTCTTGTTGCGCAAGTACTTTAAATCTAGTTTGGGGATAATCATGTGGGGTTTAGGTTTTATGCTTATCTCGGGGGTTTTATCGACTTAACAGATAATAGCCTCAGTTTATCCTGACAGAAGCGGCTGAATGACTTAAGCACCGCCCCAACTCACAGGCCAATAAAATGTCAAGTTCAATCTACCACATGTACCTGCAGCACGGGCTGACAGCCGCCACAGGCCCTCAGTCATCTCTTTTATTAGAAAGTCATACACGTACCAGCTGACGAGCGCGCGTACGTCGCTGACCGAAATTAAACAAGTATACCTAACCTAAACACATTTTATTCTATTCTGTTCCTTTCATCATACAGAGGTACCTAAGCAGAACAAGGCTAAACTAATTACCTAACTAGCCAAAAATAACTCTTGTGACCTTTTATCATCAGCATTTTACATATCAGCTTTATGAAATGAGTCTGTACCAGCGGCTCCTGTTTCTGTACCTGATGACTTGGCCATGAACCAGCTCGAAATATCCCTTTCTAATGTTCGATTAACGCATATATCATCTACTGTTATCCTCTTTTCCGGTCCGTGACAATGGGCCCCCTTACCAGGATCTCCCTGGCCGTTCTCGCCATCGCCTTGATGATCTTTGTCGCATTTTTCGGCAGGCTACCGGCTCTGAGGTATGAGCGGAACCCGCGGACCAACTATTTCATTACTAATTACGATCATATAGACATACTCCGATAGCCTGGCTGCATCGCGTAGTATGGGTGTATATACCAAATGCTATTCTAAGCCTTGACCAGCGGCTCACTTCAGGCCGCCTCACCACGGCGCTAGGTAGATTTGGCACTTATATCATGTACGATCGGCATCCAACAGTGCTTATTTTCTTCATATTACTGCTGTCCGTGGGCGAGTTTATGTTCCTACCAGGCGTATGGCCGCGCTTAAACCTCCTTCATAAGACCCTAGGAAGCATATCTATCATCTTACCGTACTTGTTCTTATACCTTTCCGCGGCTGGCGACCCGGGTGTCGTTACCCCCGCCAATCATTCCCGTTATATGTCGCACTATCCGTACGACTTTGCCCTCTTCCGGCCAGGTCAAACGTGCCGAACATGTGGGTTGCTGAAGCCCGCGCGCTCTAAGCACTGCTCCGTCTGCAAGCGCTGCGTTCACAAGATGGACCACCACTGCGTATTCATTAACAACTGCGTCGGCTACGGTAATCAGCATTATTTTATCCTCCTACTTCTTTCAACCGCCATCCTAACTTTATATGGCGGTGTTCTCGGCCTCGGTGCAGTCGCCGATGCAGCGCGCATGCGCAATGAGTTGTTCGTGCTATTCCCGAAACCAGCGAGCTGGTCCTGGCACGAGTATTTGATGGTCCTCACCGTGGGCATCCAGAACGACGTAGGCGTAGGGTCTATCACTTTACTCTCGCTGATGACCACACCTCTGGTGTGGGGCCTGCTTGGATACCACGTCTACTTAATTTACTGCGGCACGACTACTAACGAGAGCATGAAATGGCAGGACTGGCAAATGGAAATGGATGATGGTTGTGCGTTCAAGCGTTCTCTGCCACTTGACCGTGCTAGAAACCTGCGTTACGAGGCAGCCTGGACGCGATGGCCCGTCGACGCAGTCCAAGTAATCGTGCGCACAGAGGACGGCACGCCGCCGGATCCGAACATACCCACGGGCGTCGGCGAGTGGGAGCGCGTCTGGCGCTTGCGCGATGTTGAAAACTTATACGACCTCGGCTTTTGGGATAACCTGGTCGACGTCTTCGTGCCCAACTACTCTTTTCGACGGGCAGATGCCTCGGCGGCAGATCTGGAGAGGGGCAAGAGGCGGGCTAAGAAGCCACCTAAAGCCCCGCGAGCATCGAACTTAGTAACTGCCGCTACGTAATTGAAGCACATTAGTATGAAGTAAAATATGGTTGAATAGAATCAAGAGTTGTGTTCAATATGTCCTTATGCTACCTATATGTGTGTGATCATAGTAGAGTACATCATGTATAGCCATCGTGTTAGACTCATGACGGGTACCTACCTATCTAAGGTAGGTTGCCCATATGTCGCTATACCCGAGTCCGAAGTTGACTCAGGGGTTGGTCTTTTATACTCGATAGAATACCAGCATCATCCTCACCTAGAATTTTCCTGAAAATGCTTTAGCAAATTTAGCATCAAACGCGTCCAACACCACCTCCTTCTCTTTTTTCGTTGGTTGTTTTTTGCTAGAACTATTCTGGCCTTTTTGTTTCTTCTTATTAGTTTGTCCTGAAGATGATGACAAGATGTCTTTCGATGTCGGTTGCGTCAATAGAGCCTTGAATGCGTTTGGAGTCATAATTTCATCTTTCTGTTTCTTATTTTTGCCACGCGACGGAGGAAAGTCGGTGGGCCATTCTTCTTCGTTTCCTATATGTGCGTTCGTAACTGTTGACCTCTGCTGGAGTATCTTTTCTGACCTAGCTGCATCTTCGGGGAAGCGCTTCCTCAGAACCCGCTGCAGTTTTTCCTCCTGTCTGCCGAGGATGTTGCGTTTTTCAGGCGCAGGGGGTAAACGCCTATCATTCTTTCGCCGCATGTTTCGAACATAGCTGCTGGTAGTGCTAGTAGCCCTAATCTTTTTCATGAACTCGTCTAGGATATCAACCATTTCCTGTGAATCCTTTTCCGTATTGCGTTGTTCGCGTGGGGGTTTCATCCTACAGCTGTAGCTATGGAAGTTTCGAGCCTGGGGTTGAGTGATAATCCTCGAATGTAAGGAGTCAAAAATACCTGGCGTGATTCCATAACGAGCCTCGTGTCCCCTTCCCGCAGCCCATTCTAGTTTAGAAGATTCAAAATTGTCTACCTTCTTGGGCAAGGAATCCTTTGGTGCATACTGCAAATCTTCAAACGAGATAACTTTGCCAGACCACTTCTTGTTTTTTTCTGAGTCCGGTCGGTTAGTTTCTACCAAGCCGGCTAAACGAGCTACAGCAAATCTCGCATGCGATGCTGTTGAATGTATGACAGCAGCGTCTTTCGCACCAAGGGCAGTGACAAACACGTCTCTGTCCAAATTCCAATTATAATTTTCTTGCGAATTCTCAATGTCAAGAACATTGTCCCGTAACTTGGCACATAAATCACCCAGGGCGGTTAGGCCACCTTTAACCTTATCCGCCTTAGTGAGGACGATAGAGGTTCTCATATTGACAGAACTTAATAATTGCAAACACTGCAAGTCCAGCTCCTTGGGCCCAACTTCAGCGTCGATTAAGATTATGGCTCCTTTTACGCCTATCCTTTTAGTTAGGTATAACGTGATATTACGTCCCCAGTCTTCCAAGGATGCGTGTCCGTATCCGGGCATATCCACAAGGTAAAAGGTGTGAGTTGGGATATCCTCTTTGCCTTTAAGTTCGGCAGTCCACGCGGCAATATCTTTCGGCAGCGGTGCTGGTCCAAATCCATATGTATTCATCTCTCTAGTTTTACCAGCGTGCTTGCTAATACGTGCCAGCGAGTTCTGACTCCGTTGACTTCGGCCAGCAAGAGCATTGACAAAAGACGACTTGCCAACGTTAGATCGGCCGAGGACACAGACTTCAGGGATGAGGGTATTTTTCTTGAGCTTGTAGAAATCTGTCTCTCCATATTGGAATGTTGCTGGATTCCTAGTGAAGAGGGTACTCAGTCCAGAGAGGAGAGGCTCATCGGGAGTTGATCGCATATGGGATGTTTTGCAAAGTGTCCCAAGCGAGACATTGTCGACACGACCTTGTCGGGACTCGGGTATATAGAAGGCAGCCGCTTCATTGTAATTAAAAGCGGCAGTAGATCTATAAGCCTTCAAATCCTTCAAAGCAAGATTGATCTGACTTGGTCGTATTCGTTGGGGGGCCCCGATCACAGTGAGTCGCAAAGAGGGCGGCATGGCCAGAAAGGCATTAAGTTGATTCGACAAGGACATTTTGCAGACTTGCTAAATGTAGGATTGCCGTATGTATAAGGGCGCTATAGGTAAGCTACATGCTGGAATATAATATGGGTGGTATCCGTCTAACCCCAACATGAGGGATTGCAATTGATCGCAATACACACGAAAAGAGAAAAAAAATTGTATGTAGCGGCGGCGATAAAAAACTTCCATCCAACTAAAAATAATTTAGAGCGGTACTTTGGTACTTACCTAGGTACATAGGTATGTACCTAGGTAGGTATGTACCTAGAAGAACCACTACTGTGGATCCCACTATACGTACATAGTATGTACCTGCATGATCTTATCAACCTTATCATAGCAAACGACGCAATAAAAAAAGTCCCCGACGCCCCCCTGCTAACCTTACCTACCTGGTAGCTGCTAACATCCCGCACCAGCATTTAAATAATTATCCAAGATAACCTACCTCTTACACATACCTCCGTCAACCCGTGTCTATTAAGAATAACCGTTGCCCACATTTTTACGCTGCCAGCATCCTCCCAATCGCCATGTCGAAGCCGTCACAGTTGCGCTCCCTCTACCGATCACTCCTTCGAGAACTCCCTCCTAAACCACTCCCGTCCTCCTCTTCGCGAGTTCGTTCTCCTTTACATCAACAATTAAGACAAAGCTTCTCAAGTGATCCGCCCCACGAGCACGTCGTCGCCCAAGCCGACCAGTTAGTACAGTATCTTAAGGCACAAAGGCAATATACGACTCTGCTGGAGCGATATAATCCGGGCATGGGTATGGATGAGGAAGAGCGCGTCAGGCTGAGCGCCCGTCGGGTCGGCATGGATTTACCAGTAGAGTACGAGAAGCAGGGCAAACACAGTTGAAGTACAGGATCATAGGAGGAGAAGTTTGCGGAACAGTGCCAATTCGTCTGCACAATATCACCATGGGTCTCAATCAAAACCTCCGCTTCCAAAGATGTCTGGAATACCCCCGACTCTACGGGCTGGGCTTGGCGAAGAGCTGCACTTTAACCATGTTAAACGACTATTCAACTACGATAATAGGCCGGGGGTGTTTCATATAATTGCCCGACGTTACTTGAGTCGTATGAGTATACAGCACTCAAATTATGAATCCCCAGCTGTCAGGTTCCAAACAGGATTTTGCGTAAAGGGGAAATGTCAACCACTACAAGTTTTATACATAACTTAACTCATAGAATATCTGAAATGACAAGGATTATCATATCAGGGCTTGCGCTCTGTAGCAATTTTGGAATGTAGGCCATCTTGATTCTTATATGTTTTACTTCTCATTACTCCTATTCAATTTCAACAATCTCCGGTCTGACCTTTTCAAACAAGTCCACACATTCTATAGTTGAATAAGCGCCCATCACCCTCGTGTTACTCGTGTCCTCTTTTGCTCGACTTTTGGATTTTGTATTGATGTGGAATAGACCCAAACGTGTAAATCGCGTACACAAACGAGTCGTATCGCAAGGCATCGCGCGGAGAATGAGACCGAGCGGCCCACGTCTATTCAATCCAACGCAGTTACCAATCTCAAATAATGAGACCTCAATTTCGCTCAATTTTTGCGCACTCCCTTCAAATTCATTCGTGTCCGGGAAGACGGTTATAAGTTTCATCAAAATCGCCTCATTGGGGTCACCAACCTCGGAACCCCCTCTTGGCCGGAGCTTCAATATACCCCCAGTCGTATTTTTATACCAGATAACTTCCCTCAATCGCCCTCTCAGTGTTAAAATGCCCTGTCGGACCGACCCGTATCTTGCATTTATATTCACCAGCTCAATATCAGCGTCAAGAAGCTCTGCGCGGCAATTCTGATAGCAGGATCGGGCGAGTAGAAAGCTAATTGGGCTGTTTATACCTGTCCAGGACCACGAAGGGCCTTGATAATGGACTGGACGTGGAAGGTATCCGTGCTCGCCTAGAGTCGCCTGCCAACATAGGAAACTTGGCAGAGTTGTTTTCCATAGCCCCGCCAAATAATCGTCTTTCATATGAGTTCCAAATACGTGTGCGATCCCTGAAATCGCAAGACTGCGATCGGTTGGAACGGAGAGCTTGCGTGGAGTATAATGGTTAACGATAGTTTCCCATCGTCCCTTTATCCAATCGGCAATCCACTCTTCGCTTAACCTTCTCAAGTTCATCACTTCAATATCTCGCTGAAGCTCGCGGTAGATGTACATTACGTGAGTAGTATTGTCTGGATCCTCGCGCTTCCAACCGTCGCAATAGCCATCCTTTATTCCAGAGCACGCGCATACCCAACGCATCTGATTTCTACCAAACTCTATATATCTATTAGATAGATATCGCTCCTGTAGCGTCCACGCCCGAGAATGGATGGGCTCGGATTCTCGGCTATCGTCTATGTAAGTGATATATGCCGAGCCCAAGGTGCCGTGTTGGTCTGGACAACGGAATGGAAGCCTTACAGCAAGCCTCGTGCTTTGAACTAAGTCAATATCGTCTAGAAATCCCCTGCTTGCGCGATCCGACCGTGCTGCAACAATTGTGACACATGCTTGATTATAGATCCAAGGCATATTGGCGATCTGTTCAATCTTGTCTCCCTCGTCATCTTGGATGATGCATAGAGCATCGACCCAGAGGTATTTCAAACCCAGTCCTGAAGTTACTTCAATAGCATCTTGTATAGATTGGGCAAGTTTATCGTATGGGATGCTTAGGTTGCCTGATCTCATACGTGATTTTGTAGTCTTGCAAGCCTGATCACCTCCCCAGCAATAGCTAAGTGCTACATACGGTTCCACCTTATCATAAGTCGGTTCAAGGTTAATATCAAATTTATCTAAACCCTCGACCTTCTCTATATGAAGAATTCGTGAAGGCATAGAGCTTTGTTCTGTACGGCATTCAGGATGTGAATCTAAACACCCTTCTAGCCAGCCTCGGGCCAATGCTAGATTTTCTGCCGTACCTGGTCGACAATTGATAGGGCGGGTCAAAATGAACTGGCTTGCTGGGTCATCTAGTAGCTCTTAGTCAGTTTCAAGAGTTAAAGTGAGTCACAAAATACTTCATGATGGGTGTTACCGACCCTCTGTTGTAAAGACATCTAGGCTGTATGGGCTTCTGATTCGGCATTTGCCCAACTCAGGGTTCACTGGCACACCATGCTCCCATAGACCTATGAATGATAACTCATCGAATGGGTAGCGATCAGTTAGGGACATACTATAACTATCGGCACAAATAGTTATGCGGCCAGTAGGGACTTTCGCAAGCATCTTGTATTGATCACCGTGGCGTTTCTCCCATGCACCATCAAGCCATTTGCATAAGTGACAATGACGGGAAGCACCTTCAAGGACATCCTGTAAAGTCGCATCGAAGAAGAATATCCCTTCTGTTGTATTCCAGTAGTCTGTGATAATATCGCCGGGAGGCTGCTTATTATTGAGGTCTATCAAAAGTTTCTGGCAGTATTGGCATGCATGATAATTTGGTAAGCTAGTCATCATCTCCAGAGTAAATCAATATATTTCTTCAAAAGTTGAACAGAAAAAAAAACGACGAAGACTTTATGATATTGATGTTTTGGAAGAGAAGGGATGTTTGCGAACATGCTTAGCCTTGCTTCACAAGAGAGCTTAGAAGTGTAAAGAGAAGAAAAGCAACATGAATAGCAGTGTTGCCAGTAATCTTCTTGCTTCTCGTGTGGTGCTATGATGTGCCGCAGCCTCGCATCCTGGATGATCCCGAAGTCACCTTGCAGAAGTACCGTGCCCATGTGCTTTACAAGTCGAATGTAGGTACATATAGCCATAAATTTATTAAAGAAACCTTCACTTGTGTTGTCTACGCAAGCTCTACGACCGCACCCTACCGTACCTACCTACCATATTTACTTGACAGTAGTTCAAAATAGGTACCTAGAGCATAGCATAGATACCTAAGTCAGCGTATTGTAATTACTGTGCCTCTGTGGTCTAGGGGTCTGATATTAGGGTAATCGTGGGCTGAGACTCAGTTCGTTCCATAAGGCTTACGGGTAATATGAAATTAATCCAATCAGTTTTTAACAATATGTAGTTCACAGCTCACGTATATATTTCACGAACATGGCTGTACACACTCATAATTTTCATAACATCTCTCAATGCTACAATTATAATGTCACATCCTCCCATCAATTATTCCCCGCCTGTTCCTTAAGCGTACCGGTTTAGTAACCCAATTACGATGAAAATGCATAGACATGAATATGTCTATGAGTCCGGAACTAAGTTGAAGATGATTACCGCTAGAATCATGGCGATAATTGCCGCAGCTGCTATAAGTGAGGGTGCGAGGAGATGCAGCATCGCAAGACTCGTCAGCGATGCGAAGATCCCTCCGGCTGGCGTGAATCCGCCGTACATAGCCGACTGGAAGCCAGCGGCAATTGTGCCTTAATGCATCTTAGTAAGACCCGTGCTATGGATTTGGGGTTAAAAGAGAAAATGAAGGCGACTGCATCTCACCTGTAATGACGCCTGCTGGACCGAAACCTAAGCACAGCCCAAACGTAACAACGATTGTAAACACAAGTGCCCAGACGATTATTGCCCAGTAGACATCTAACATCCATTCGTAAATATGTCACCATTGCAGAAATCTACACTTGTCTTGGCCTCGGGAGACTTACGTGGTTGTGCGATATACGCCGTAAATGACTTCCAGAGCGAACCAAGGAAATCCATTACCTGTCGAGACAGTCGGGAATAATCAAAAGTATCCATTTTCATAAATCGCTTCCAGGCGGAATAGGCAAACCTCTTTAGCCTAGTAACAGAGCGGGAAATACTTGGAATTATCGCCGCAACGTCAAACATCTTCATTGTGATACTTCCTATTGGGATGGGAATGAGAAGTAAAAAGGAAGAGAGGTGGTGAATGACTAACCTTTGGAAGGTCTGGTATTTAAAATACTGTGATGAGAGCAAACAGCCAAGGGCACAACAGTTTGTGTAACCACCGGCCGGTTACCTACTTGAACCTACCCGTCTACCTCCTAACATGCAATCAGGTATCAACGAATACCTAGGTAGCTAGGCAAGCTTGGTATTTCTCTTTGTGATATCAAAGATTTCGTTATTCTTCAGTTTCGGGTAACTTAGTATTTCGTGCGGGATACTGCTTGTAAGAACTATCACAAATAACAGTAAGAAAATAAATGACAGCTCATGGGCACGGCATTTAACTGAATAAATGCAAGCCAATAGTGATGGCATATTTAACTACCTAATCTTATGCATACCCCTCATGTAATATAACCAATTCCTTCTTACACAATCTAACGGTAGCCAGCTGTCTTTCCAGCCATGTATGTCATTGTCCTCTAATCCATGTTTTAGAAAGCTTTGAACAACGTTCTATAAAAGCATCAAAATATCTCTGGTGCTATTTTATCGCTTCTCGTATTTCCCATAAGATTCACCTACGTTCTCACTAATCTTTCTTCTAATAAAACTTGTTCATTTCGTGAAGTCTTCCGCTGATTCCACCCCCTTCAATATCCATCCATGGCCATTCTAGAGTCCTCGACGCGTCCTGATTGGATCCCTCAGTATGGGAGCTTACCAAAAGAAATAACACATGTGAGCCCATCAGCTTCTACCAATGTATAGACTTCTACTGATAACCGAATTAAGCTAGAGATCAACCTACTACAACCTACCACACCCGAGATGGCAGTAAACCTTTCAGAATAGTTTGTTTCGTGCGACTCCAGGGCAGAATTTGCTTCGACTATTGACCCGGCATACCTCACGTATATCACGGTTCAGCGCAATGCATCTTTAGCAGGTGTTCAAAAGGTCAATTAAGGGCAACGCTATCGGATCAAGCATCCGTAACCTGTCGCATATCATGGACACGTCAGACTGCCGTTATATTGCTACCGGCCACTGTTATGCAACGAACTCTGACATGCATCGTCGAAATGAAGCGCATACCCAATAGCAAGATATCGACTGCGTGTACTCTAACTACCCGGGCGTACCACGAATATTCAGGAGGTATGGATACTCACCCTTCACTGTCGACCCCAAATTCCAATAGGCACTTGACTAATAATATGTTACATTATAGTATCCTCCAATTATAGAAACTATGCAAAGCATCGGAGAGTTTAGAACCATGCTGAGCAAAAGCTCCGGATGATCAACGGGGTTCTTGGATTTCTTGCATATAATAGGGGGCGCCTTGCTTCAGCATCACCAGCCTGCCGCTATCCTCTCCAACATCCAATAAAAACAGCATAATGGCATTGGCCTCTCCAACCAGGACATCGTTCACCTAGTGTATGCAATGGAACGCCCTAAAGTGATAAGTGCAGAGTAAAGCCCTCCGATGCTAATAGCTGGGATCATGTCATGATATTCCGGGAAACCGGGAAAGCTTCCCCTCGAATGCTGTTCCGATAGCGAGATAGAGTTCGGTTAAGGGGCCAAGTGACATTACCGAGATATCAACAAGTTCTGGTATGAATGTGATGGAACCCTAGTCTTGTTACACAACTACAGGCAAGTGTTTTCTCTCCGATTTGAACGTGAGATATCAGTTATAACTTCTAGCATCTCAACATTCTACATGGTACCTATCGTCACACTACCGTATACTTTTAGCTTTATTTTGAACCCCCTTTTCTTGATTCTTTCTTTTGTAAATATTTAATAAGGGATACTGTTGAGTATATGATTAGATTTTTGATCATTTGCGATGATACTCACAGAGTTACTTTTTGGGCATATGCACATTGAAGACGATCAGCATACATTCTGCCCGATGCTACCACTATGATATCGATCGTGAGGGAGAGGGTATCCGACAAGCCTGCTCGACTTTGCATCACTGCCTAACTCCCGTTTATCAACACTTTCTGCATGGTAAGAACCTTGCCCTCCTACCCCCCTTGCCGTCTTCATATACTACGCCCTTTACTATATGCGTATCTTTACATAATGCTTCTTGTTTAGGTTAATAATGCATTCGATATAATACATTCACTCGCGAAAGTTGGGTGGATTGAGGGGATCATGGGCATACAGAGGTAGGACACAGATTCTGCAACTTAACGACGCCATTCAACTCCTACGTACTTTTTTTTTTGGAAGTAGTATATATATATATATCCCTGGGAATTTTCAAAAGATAATTTATGCTTTGCGCTTTTCTTCCGGCTCAGCCATTACCACCAGTTACATCTCTTCTCAGTAACTATACTCTATCAATAAAAGCCCTTCAAATTGTTTCTGACACGGTACTGTGGCTATGAGTTCTAATGAATCAATCTACAACGGGTCCGTCGTCTTCTACTTATAGGTTCAAGTGCCATAATTATGTTCTCAAGAATGGACACTAATATTCACCTGGCCTATTCAGTACAACCCCATACAAACAAAGTCACCACTACTCGAGAAACCCACCTACTGCTCACACTGTGGACGAAATGAGTTTGAGAACATACCGCCTCAATAGATTCCTTGTTGAACCTGACAGGTCTTTATTCGTATCAGAAACAGCTTGAATTGAGTAGTTCAGTTGATATTTCTTAGTAAGCTTTTGTTCTTCCTAGATCCTGATTCTAAAGCTCAAGCGTAGCAGGCATTAGTCGAGCATGTTCGATGGATAAGGGTTAACAAAGCCGACCTATGAAACAGTTTAACAAGATTGTATGTGGTTTAGAGAGATAAACCAGGCGTTGTCAGCAGCATCATAGTTTGCCTTTTCCTCAGCACGGTAGGATAGGGAGTTCGCAGCGCAACGCGCGCCAAGTCATCTTCTGCAGTGGCAGGGTTAACTTAGTAGCTACTTTACTCTATCTATGTTTCGATATTGTTAGCCTGAATCCAAAGTTGGGCAGCAATAATGTGATTTCTGCATGTATTGCAAGCGTAGTTTGATCCATACAGTAACCTACATATCGTTTATGTTGCTTCCGGGGCATTCCACCTTGTCGCCACAGCATCTCCCAATAAACTTAGTCAGGGGTTGACAATGTAGCTCACCAAACTTGTTAACTTTTAATGTAATCTCTGGTTCTGATCATCTAAGAGAGGCTGATCATATTGATCGAGAAATGATTATAGATTCAGGCTGAGCAAGATCTCTTTGCCTTATATTACCCTTCGTCGGCCTATTGTTCGTTAACTAGATGAAAACGAGCGGTTATTGGCTAAACGCGAGTCTTAATATTTGTAATTATTATAGAAGATTCTGATAAGTTAGCAACACAACTTTAGTACTTACCGTGATAATCTAAAGTAGACTTCATCTCTCGATTCTAAGATCTAGTACCAGATCAATTCAACTAATTCAATTCATGAAGAATCACTCTTTGAAAAGTACATACGAATTCGCGTAGATGATACAGCTCAAGGGCATGACAATATTTAATATTTATATCTAGATACCTAGGTATATAGATCCGCCGGCTCATAAAGACATACTCTATAGATCCCATCCACCCCAAAACCGCAAAGAGTAAACAAAATCGGCCGTATCATATAATCATCATAATCCGCCATTGGCTAAAGGGGGTATCAAGCAAGCAAGCATAAATCTTCAGCTGCGCACACATGATTCAATTCATTACACCAACGCTCCCACCTAGAACTTTTTCTCATTGTTTTTGGAACCTTCGTCTAGCGCTTTAGCAACCTTGGTGAAAAAAAAAAGGAAAAAAAAAGGAAGAGGGGATTATACGCCGCCAACTCCGCCATCCTCGAGACTTTCGTCCCATCCGCCTGTCGATAGGAGCCACTCGCCTACGCGCTCCTTAACGCCTTTCATAGCTTCGCCGAGAGCGCTCTCCCATTGGTCTTGCACAAGGCGCACTTTTTCCTTGAGATCGTCTGTGAGTCTCGTCTGTTCTGCCGCACGCTCCTCCTCGATGACACGCGGGTCTTGGCCCTCCGCCTCGCCTACTCTCGCACGCGCACTCATCGCTGCCTCTTTGACTTCGTGCAGTAGACACAACAGATTCGTCTGCGACTCGATGAACTGGTACGTGCTCTTCTCGGCGTGTAGAAGCAGGCTAAACAGGTACTGTAGCGGATGCTGATGGTAGCTAGGGTTCTCGTCGTACTCAGCAGGCGGGATCTGGATGCGAAAGTGTCCGTCGACCGACCCTGGGATCTTATCGAGCAGTCGTCGAAGGGGCGGTGCCAGGTCCCAGAATGCGTTGAGCTGCATATCGACACCCCGTGTTACGTTCTCCTCTACCACGTCCCGGAACTCGCATGTTCGCTGTAGAACTTCGCCCGCAAACGCTCGCTGCCGCTTACACGCATCGTCTACGAAAAATGCCTCCGCCGTCCGTAGCTTCTCCTCGTTGCCGGAGAGTCGGTACGGGGTGATCACCATCTCTTTGTACCGATTATTGCGATCGCTCAGCAAGTCATATATTTCGCGGTGTAGCATCTCGCGGGCTTCGAAGATCCATTTGAGCAGGGTCAGTTTCTCGAGGAGTTCTGGTTGCTCGTCGCCTTCCTCTTGTGGCATATTGGGGTTGGGCGCTTGGGTCTCGACGAAAAGGCGTGAGCGTAGCTCGTCAAATAGTGAAGTGGCCTGTGCGATGCGGCCTGTGAGTAGCTCATTAAGTGGCATGACGACTGCATTCTGGAACCGATCGAACTCCTGCTTGTCCATCTCCTTGGCCTTTGCGTTTTCGGATGCTTGCGTGTCAGCCTCGATGGCGGCTGCTTCGGCGTATGACATGTTGCCTGCGCTGATCTCTTGATGAAGATTTGCGCGTAGTGATTTTAATCTTGAAGAGGCTCCCTGAACAGCTTCCTCGCGTACCCTCTGACTATCAAGTAAGAATCGTTCCTTCGTCGCCTGGACCTCTTGCATATCGCTTAGAGACCTCACCCTTGTACGAGTAGATGCCAGTTCTGGATGATTATTGTTTACTGCGGGATGATGTCGTGGATAAGGTGGTGGTAGCGTTACCAGTCGCGATACATCTAGATGAGAAGGGCTGGGGGTGTTCGGTGCCGATGAACCTATGGATAAGAGAGAATTTCGTAATGGCTGAGGTGTACTCAACTCCTTCGACTCATGCCACCCAACCTTTTCAAGGGGGTATTCGTTCTCCGAGTAATACTTGCTCGATCCTGCATGGCTATCTGCAGTACCTGGTTCATCCTCCCACTGCAGGGCTTCTCGTGCCTCTTTTGGCACACCCATATACTTAGACTCGCGTTTTGTTCTTTCCATGCGGTTCGGTTCTCCCCCTCCCGACTCCGTTTCCCACCAACGACTTGCTGGCCGGCCCCGTGAGCTCGACCCATCTAAATGTTCACTGACACTCATGCTAAGAATCGGTGATAATGATGGCATATACTGCGAAGCCCAATTCCCATTCGTAGGTCCATTAATAGGTGAGCTCGAGGTTGGCATATTTGCAGAAGGCGGTGCAGAAGGCGGCGCAGAGTTGGATTGTACTTGTTCACGAAAAACAGAAGTCATTGAGTTCCGTTGCGATCTTGGTTCCGACATCTGCGGCGTCCATTCTCCAGATTGTGAGTTCGTCGAGTCACGCCGCACTTTCATAGGCCGGAATAAGTCCCGTGTTAGATCGAAGATCTCAGAACCCATCGCCCCAATCGCCGATGCATATCTTTCACGACGTAACCTAGACTCGTTTACTATGAAATCAGCAAACAGCTTTACCCGCTCGGCATCCGACTCTGCTACTGCTTCATGGTTGGCAAAAGCTTGGAAGCGCTCTATGCTGCTCCGGCAGAATTGCTCGGCTGTCTGACCAACTACGGCTTGTTTGGTAGTGGGATAAGTAGCATCGGACGACGCAATGCCGTTCATCAAGCTACGTATATCCGGTCGTGCTTGAGAGGAGTTAGAAGCTGATCGGCTCTGTGGTGGTGGTGTAGGAAGAGCTTTCGGAGCAATGAGATGGCCGGGCTCTGCGACCGGATAAGCCTTTTGCGGACGTGGGGAAAAGGGCGGCGTCGGTGTCTCTGGGTGTAGTCCAGCAGAGGGACGAGGAGTCGAATTTCTGGAATCCATATTGGCGTCATCTCCAGATCTTGGCACGTCGGCTATTGTTTTACCACCGCTTCGAGGCGTCCCCTTATGAACTGAAAATCTGCGGGATAAACCTGACCCATTAGGAACTATAATGTCAGACAAAGGCTGGATCCCTTCCTCTGCCTTTTGTCGCGTCCGACTCTCGTTTCGTCTTTCGCGCAAGGACTTTTCACCTCGAACGGCTCCTGTCCGATTTAGACCGGCGCTTGCAGAGCCAGATCCGGAGCCCGAGTCGGGGACAGCCGGCGGGCTAGACGCAGCCGCAGCAGCTGTATCAATAGTCAACCCGATTGGGTGGGGCGATTTACTACGCCCTTGCTGCTCTTCACCTACCCAGTCAGCGGGGGTTGGCGGGACGGGGCCGAGCGCAGTTACTCCATTGGGAGGTGGTCTTCTCGTAGGAGGGGAAACAACAGGCTCACTGGTCCTATTGAGACTTTGAGATCTAGACTGAGTGGGAGGAGGGCCCGGCGGTGGTGGAGGTAAGGGCATACCGGGCTCCCATCTTGATTGCGACGCTGATCTAGACCGAGCCGACGTCGGCGTCTCAACCGCACTCGCTGATGCTGCTCGGCGGGAGTTAGGAGGTATGGTTGGGACGTTATTTTCAGCTGAATTGAGGGGACTAGGAACCTGGATCATTAGGGTTTGGGGTCGAGATAATGAAGTAGGAGGGTGAGAATCGGGAGGCGATATAGATTCAGGAGTGCCTCGGTCTCTCCGCCTTGTTAATGATGGTAGGCCAAAACGCCTCTCACGAGAGCCGCCGCGTCCATTTGAGCCCGGCGGTGGAGGAAAGCTTTGGTTGTTTGGTGGCTCCGGCGAAGGGCGGTGAACACTTGAAGCGGGAATCCGCGCAGCAGAGATATTTGCTGGTGGCGTCTCATGAACCGTACTATTCGGTCTTTGACTCCGGGGAGGGGAATAAGGCGGAGGTGGCGCCGGGACTGGCGCATTCGACCTTATCAGCTTGCTTTCACCGCATAACGACTCGAGATATCATCAGATAAGTAGTGGCTTACCTTGTGGGTTCAGTGTCAACGGCGGAGGGTAATGATGCGTTCGCTCAGGGCCCACCGCAGAAGTGGGCGCCCATTCTTGAGGGTTGTAGGGTTGTATTGAGCTAACTGGCGTATGGATTCCAGCATAAGTATGCGACGAAGTAATTGATACGGCAGAGTGTGGTGTGTTTAGCTGATTATGGTAACCCCCGAGAGCTGTTGTCCGCAATGGATTGAGCGCCTGGCGAAGTCGAGAGGTTGTGCCATCACGCGGACTGGTCATCATCACTTGACTTATAGCGGCCGTAGCCCGTGTCAATAAAGACGCGCGGGTAGGGCGACAGTAGGGAAGTCAGGGATGGATACTGGCGCGGACGGGACGTTAATTAAATGCCCTTTGTGTTTATATCCTAAATGGACTGGCGGTCGACGCTTATTGCGCTACCTTCGCCTGTTCGACCTTCAGCCGAAGATATGGGAAACTGTCTTGTCACCAATTACTCCCATGACCCGATATTCCGTATATTGTACGGGGGCGAAGGAATATATAAAGGCCGGCGGATATGGTAAAGGCGCGGCTGAGAAGATGCTGTGCGATGTGGGAGAAGAGGGTGTAAAAGATAAAAAGTGATGGATGGACTACCTAGAGGGTGATGATCCTAGATCCCCTGGTCTAAAGACGTGGGGGATGGGGCGTTCTCTTGGCAGATCCCTGGATACCTGCATAGGCTGCACAGGCTCATCAACTGGTTAATGGCTGATGGGTATAGGTAAATTCCGAGAGAAACGGACGTTACCTTGACCTTATCCGCTTATACAAATTCTTACCTTAGTTGGGTACATATAACAAGTAGGAGCCGTATGATGTTTTACCCCTTCCCTTCCCCCTTTGGTGTTTGAGTACCATGGTAGGTCTTGTCTTAAGGCTCGTCTTGGCAAATCGAGATGCTAAACTGCAGACAATACATACATCGTATGCCCGATGTAACAGCCTAACCTAAGCTCATAGCACTGCATAAGTTCCGAACCTCGACTATTGTAGGATTTTGTTAAAAGATCCTCCCCTGTACGGGCCTCTACATAGTTCGTTATTGTCTATCATATGAAAATGTCCTTAGTATGATTAATCCAAGCCGGTTCTCTTATATTTGCATACCAATGGACCCCCCATGTGCACCACCGAGGGTGCTTTTAATCAAGATGCAGTTGAACGAGCGAATGAGGAGTTTGGTAGGACTGCAAAGCATCGAAGAAGTGCTGAACGGCGGTCCCGGTGGGCCGACTAACTTGGGATTAAGGGGGCCCGGTACTTCGAACTTGGTATATGTACTCTAGCAATAGCAAACTATTGGTTGGATGTATGGGTCGACCTCTATCTATATTTGGAAACGGAAGACAATAATCACATCTTATTGGCCAAGATTTTCTTCTTCCTCGTGGTTCTGGTCTGTGGGCGCTTAAGAGTTGCAGATTTCAAGGAACTCTCCACTTTGGGACGGGAAGTGATTGGTCTATCCTTTGTGTTAGATCTGCACCAGCCGGGAAAGTTCTTGAAGCTATTCTGTTCTTGTCAATCTGTAAAGCTGTATAAAATCATAGTGTACTTCGTAGGGCTAACAATTATCCTCATACTTTACCTAGGTAGATAGATTGTTCGTGCATACATATGAAGTGAGGATTGTCTGATGTATGCATTGATCGTCCACGAAATCTGCTTCCCGCTGCAGAGCAACACACCGAATTTTGTAGCTAGTAGATGTGCATGAAGGATGTAAGCTCATATGCGATTCGGTATATATAATAACATAATAAGGACGTCTGAGTCTAACTGTACGGAGGTTTCCTTGTAGTTAGATTACCCAACGTATTCGTATGGTATGCTTTAGGTTAGGTACATATGCTCATAGTGATTCCAGAAAAGCAGTTCGAGAAAAATCACCCCGCATCCTGATCCCCACGGTAGAGGACCTGCCAGGTACGGATAGTCCGACTACTCGTTAGCATGGACCGGTTAATATAAATAGTATACAATTCGTCATAACCGTGGTATGTTTTTTACGTGTAAGTTTTGGAAACGAATGAATTTCCTTGAACGATTCGATTTGATACTTTAAAGCGGATAGAAGCCGACCCGAAGATGAGACCCGAGGGGGTTGGTTCTCACTGCAACAGTCTAACTTTGAACCCGCACCATTGAGAGGCAACATCTTATGTGTATATAAGTAAGTAACTAATTGTACGCTGGGGACGGTAAGATACCTATGTATAACAATAATATGAGCATGTTGACGCTTGTTAATTGAGGGTCCAGATGTAACCCGAGTTGCATATGTAGAATTAGGGGCTAGAACTTGGCTCTCCTAGTAATAATTCTAATATATTGTCTTTAGCTTCACAAAGCTTGACTGCTTGGTAGAAGTGCAGTGGCATGTAACATCCGGGATTGAGATGTGATAATTATTGGTGGTTGTCTGCGAGCTAGAACATATTTCGTATCGTATCACCTCTCACGCATCTCGGGTGGTCTGCAATTTAGGAGATTTTTCAGAGCTTAATCTCGTCTGATCGTCTAATGTGATTGTTATTAATACATGTACATAGGTGATAAGGTAGGTGACAAATGCTACAGCAGCTTCTATGTAAATGAATTCCAAGATTAGCTGCTAGGTAGCTGCTGGTATTGAAGTGAGCAAGTACGGATTAGGTACCTTAGGTACCTACCTACCTTAGCACCTATGTAGAGTGAGATAAGAATAATTTGATGTGGGGCTCGCCTCGATAGAGCCCTCTAGCTTCCGATACCTCGGCTTATATAATGCACACCTTTTAACTTTCAAGTTCACAAATACACGGACCGATATTTCGCCGAACATGGACTAGATAGGTATCCACTCTCATTGGCAGAATCTTTTCATCTTCGACTTAAACTTCGTCGAAATTCTAGAGCTTTCGGCTGCATTTTCTTCTAACCTTGGAACCTTACAACAGTCTTCTTGTTGTCGGCCGGGTGCCCTTCATGCCGATATTTTCTTCTATTCAATTCGTCAGATATGCTTGCAGATTGATTCTGTAGTCAACAATATCCCGTCCATCTGTCATCAGTAAGCCTCACCTTTTTATTTATTTCTACATTCTTCACACTTTTCACCCTTTGTGAAATCTCTGATGATACACCAGCTGGCACCAGTCATAGAGCGACTTGTACTCCCTTTCTTTGATGACCAATAGCTGTAGTCCTTGAGACTCATATCTGATTAATTCATTTCCTCTTTATTTACTCGCAACTTACGATTGTTCGCGTTGAATTGACGATTGCTAACACAGCCTCGTCTCTCTAGCTTTTTCAATCAAATCCAAGCTTCGTGCGAATTACCCTTCTCCGAAACCCACCATGGTTCTCCACAACCCAAACAACTGGCATTGGGTCAGCAAGAATGCCGGTGAATGGACTAGGCAATGGTTCGAAGAGAATCTACCCAAGATCTCGGTCGAAGATGGAGAGGTCACCGCCAAGATTAATAAGGTTGTCAGCATGGACGGGGATGTTGACGTGAGCCAACGAAAAGGCAAAGTCATTACCATCTACGACGTCAAGCTCGTCTTAGAGTACTCTGGTAAGCCAACTACTGCGAGTATCGCTGAGCGGGAAGTCATCTAACTTGGACTAGGAACCGCCCCCGGAGAAGAGAGCGTCTCGGGTACTATCACCGTGCCCGAAGTTGCCCACGATACCGAGGAAGATGACTTTGTTGTAGGTATCCCGTAGTTCGTGTAGCTGTCATTATTGGTACTAACGTCGAAAAAAAAAGTTCGACATAGATATCTACTCAGAGTCGCAGGAAAAGCAACTGGTGAAGGATCTAGTTCGATCTAAGATCACACCACAGCTACGAAAGGAATTCGCTAAGCTTACACCGGCTTTGATTGCCGAACATGGAAAGGATATCCAACACGCTGCTGGCACAAATCCCTCGAGTGGATTTACCGCGCCCAAATACCATGTGCCTTCCAGTGCTACATCAAAGGCCGACGCTGGTGCCAGCACCCAGAAGAACAGTGGCAGCGTCGTCAACACGACAACGGTAACCGATCAGGAGGAATTCCGAACTACTGCTGCCGAGTTGTATCAGACGTTCACTGATCCGCAACGTCTAGCTGCCTTCACCCGTGCACCTCCAAAGAGATTTGATGGGGCCCAAAAAGGTGGCAAGTTTGAGCTATTTGACGGCAATGTCTCCGGCGAATATGAAGACCTTGAGGAACCGACCAAGATCACCCAGACGTGGCGACTGAACCAATGGCCTGCCGGTCATTACTCTAAACAGGTGATTGAGTTTGACCAGAACGATGTAGACGGCGTGACTGTGATGAGGGTCACCTGGAGTGGCGTGCCAGTAGGTCAGGAAGAGGTGACCAAGCGCAACTGGGCAGAGTATTACGTGAGGAGCATCAAGTTGACTTTCGGGTAAGTTCGCATCCTTGATAACACTTGCCTCTTGGGTCTTGAACACAAGCTAACATGGACAAGATTTGGAACGATCCTATAGTCAAAAACATTCCGGTTGGCCAACGGCGTTCTCTGGTTCAATGGCGTAATTGGTAAACGATTCAGTCTACCCTCACGGGCGATTGTCTGGCCATTTCAACAAATGTGTAGAGTCGTAAAGTAGAGGCCTAGGCGCCGTGCAGTCTTCCCATTAAAACCTTGCATAGTAGAAGGTACATAAAGAAATAACGACGTTAAATGATAATAAATAAATATGAAAAATTGCCCTCAACACCTTACGAACTTGTTGAGTATTTTAAGCTTCAATGAATAACGGTTGGTATGAGGATTCTCTAGTAGAGCATGGACTGACTCTATTATTGGTGTCTTAATTCTACGCTCGGTCTCCAAGCCTCTAAGCCTCCAACTTCGAACCTCAAATCCCCAACCTCCACATGAGCGCGGGACCACCCGAGCCAATTAGCGAGTTAGAAGCCTGCGTCACTCTAATTTCAGGCGAACATACCGCCTATCCCCAACCTTTCAACATTTCCAGGACAGTCTATCAACTCACTCAAGCGGTTGATACCGCGGCGGAGTTGTCTTTCAGAACAATACCCATCTTCGTTATTTCCAACAGAAACCAACATCATGAGATTATCTGGGCCTTGAATTATTTACTTTACCTAATAGCATATATTCGCAGGATCTGATTTATGAGGTGATCGCATCTCATTCGCCACGTACCTGTTTAAAATCGAGGTCACGGGATAAAAGTTCCGTCGGGTTTAATTTAAGAATGCTTTGATTGAAATTTATAGCCTCAATTATTCCTTCGCTAACCATGCCTTCTAATACTTCTAAGCCCTCTTCCGATGAGGTCGACTTGGTAATCCGCCAGGATGCCAGCATCCATATGGACTTACATATCACGAGCTCCAGTTTCAGTCTTAGTCAAGAATCATCACCTATTACATCTTCGATTTCAAGCCAAGTTAAAATAAATGAAACCGAGGTTCAACCGGAACGAACCCCTGATTGGGATAATCTTAAAGTTATTCATCGAAATACTCTCCCGCCTCGGAGTCATTTTCATCTTTACAACACTGAAGAGGATGCTCTGTCTGGCGATGTGAGCCGATCTAGGGCTGCTCTGCTCTCCGGTACTTGGGGGTTCGAATTATCTCCCGGTCCCTTCAAGGGTTCCCGAGACTTCTATAAGCCCGACTTCGACCATACAGAATGGAAGCTCATCAAGGTGCCTGGCATGTGGCAGCTTCAGGGATTTGGTAAGGGTCCACAGTACACAAATGTCAACTTCCCCTTTCCAGTAAATCCTCCCCACGTCCCGTATGACGATAACGAATGCGGGCGGTATGTCATGCGCTTCGAGGTGCCGGATAGGCTTAAGGATGGAGATCAATGGCGGTTACGATTTGAGGGTGTCGATTCGGCATTTACCGTCTGGTTGAACGGAAAAGAAGTTGGCTACTCGCAAGGCTCGAGAAATCCGAGCGAATTCGATGTGTCGCTGTTCATTGAACCCGATTTGGAAAACACTCTTTGCGTCGAGGTTTACCAGCGATGTGACGGAAGCTATATCGAGGATCAGGTATGTTTAATATTTATAGGACACAGTCTCTATCAGTTCTGACTTTGCTCCAAGGACCAATGGTGGCTCAGCGGCATCTTTAGAGACGTCTGGTTACATTCATTTCCTTCTGTTCGTCTTGAGGACATCCATATTCAGGCACTCCTCGACGACGATTATAGGGATGGGTTGCTCATGATAGACACTAAGCTGAACAAAGCCAACGAAACTGTCACATTCAAGCTTCTCGATCGCGAAGGCAAAACGGTAACCCCCGATTCTCACACAAGACAGGCGCAACAGTGCAAGTACGAGTATCCGATCAAAACCCCCGAGAAATGGACGGCAGAAACACCTTATCTATACACATTAGTACTATCTGTTGGTTCTACATACATTTCTCAAAAGGTCGGATTTCGCAGGACCGAGCTGATCGACGGCGTCTTTTGCGTTAATGGCAAGCCGATCAAGATCCGCGGGGTAAATCGGCATGAGCATAACGCGCAATCCGGAAGGACGGTCCCGTACGAAAATCTGAAGTACGATCTCCAGCTGATGAAAATATTCAATATCAATGCTATCCGCACGTCCCATTATCCGAACGACCCTAGACTGTACGATCTTGCGAACGAGATGGGGTTTTGGGTGTTGGATGAAGCTGATCTCGAATGTCACGGCTTTGGCGAAGTTGGTGGTGATCCAGCGAGTTTCGCGTCTAACAATCCCGAGTGGAAAGACGCCTATGTAGATCGCGCGGTACAGTTGGTAACGCGTGATAAGAACCATCCAAGTATTATCATGTGGTCTCTTGGGAACGAAGCATTTTACGGCAGTAATCACCAGGCAATGTATGACGCTATCAAGAAGGTTGATAAGACGCGTCTTATACACTACGAAGGCGACCAAGAAGCCCAGACGGTGGACATCTTTAGTCGGATGTACACATCTGTCGATGGGATGATTAAACACGCCGAGGAAAAGGATTGGAAGAAGCCTTTCGTTATGTGTGAATTCGCCCATGCTAGTGAGTAACATTGAAGTTTTTCCCTTGCCCTATTATTGACGTGTGTTATAGTGGGCAATGGCCCAGGCGCCGTACAGGAGTATATCGAGGCATTCTACAAATACCCACGACTAATGGGAGGTTTCGTGTGGGAGTGGGCAAACCACGTAGGTCTATATCGACTTGATGAAATTCTTACTACGTTAGAGCTAATATGGAACTCATCATATAGGGTCTTCTCACTGAGACGGAAGACGGCGAGAAGTTCTTTGGTTACGGTGGTGATTTCCAACCCGACGAGCCTCACGACGGCAACTTTGTTATGGACGGACTTTGCGATTCGCTACATAACCCAGGCCCAGGTCTCACCGAATACAGCAAAGCCATCGAACCGGTCCAAGTGCTCAACGTGAAAGGCAACGAAGTGACGATTATAAACCGTTATGATTTTCTAACTCTAGACCATCTCAAGTGTTATTGGAGTCTCGTTTCCGACCGGCAACAGATGATTGGAAACGAAATCCTCATTCCAGCGGGAGTTAAGCCGCATACCGAAGCAACGCTTGTCCTTGGTGGCTTGCCGAAGACTCTTTCTACAGACACATGGCTCCAATTGGATTTCATGGCGCATACCGGGAGTAAATGGGTAACACCCGGACGAGTCGTAGCCCGAGGCGAACTCCCCCTAACCCCGCCGCCATCCCTCACTCTCCTTAAAACCCTCTCTGCCCCAGACCGCCCACACATTCAGCGTAAAGACGGCATGCTCTACGTGACAATTCGCTCCGGTAGCATATTCGGCTTTGACACCGGCAACGGCACATTATCCTCACTAACACACACTTCAAAGCCCGACCACAACATCATCACCGTCCCTCTAACACTCGATTTCTACCGCGCATTAACAGACAACGATCGCGGCGGACCCCATGGCAAAGAATGGGTCGATCGCAGAGTCCACCAGACACGCCATCACTTCTCGCGAATAACCACCACCGAAACAGAATCCGGCTGCATCGTTGTCGTAAAAGGACGCGTGGCTCCTCCCGTCCTAGCCTGGGCCGTCGATACAACGATCACCTACACATTAACATCTGAGAACTGCAGCATCCGTGTGCAAGCCAAGCCCAACGGCGCCCTCCTCCCCACCACATTCGCGCGCTTCGGCTTATCCTTCGGATTACGCGACATCCGCGTAGTAGAATGGTTTGGCCGTGGCCCGGATGAATCATACGTCGACAAGAAGCGCGCGCAGCAGATCAACACGTGGGGATGGGCTGCCGACTCGCTGTTCAATTATTACGAGTTTCCACAGGACAGTGGCAACCGCACGGATATTCGGTGGGTAGAGTTGCGGACGCGATGGGGTGGCGAGGACGAATACCCAAATCGCTTGTTAAGGGCAAGGTTTGGGGAGCATCAAGGTGCGAGTTTTAGTGTGACGCCGTATAGTACACGCGATATAGATGAGTGTAAGCACCCGTACGAGTTGCGCAAGAGGAAGAGGGATGATCATATTGTTAGGTTGGACTGGTATCACCACGGTCTGGGTACAGGGAGTTGTGGACCTGCGACCCTGCCGGAGTACCAGCTTAGGACAGATCAGGAGTTCGATGTCGAGGTTTTACTAGATTAAGTGGTGGTGGTCTTGTAATATAATGTAATACAATAGGCTCGGACTGATATGCATTCATCTGCTTGCTGTATACTTGAGTGGAACGACCAAGCTGTCGACATATAACTAAAAAGCTAGAGCAGCGCCCATGTTTCCATGATTCCCGTTCCAAATCGGTTCCCCATACCACTGAAGTATCGTACCAAGTCGTCCCAAGCTATAAATCCATAAAGAGGACATGTAATAGCCTACTTCGGCAAAATCCCGCAGTAAAATCTACGTCCAGAAGCTCGGGAAATAAATCTATACAGTTCCAAACTGGGTGTATTAGCTTTTCCTTCCCCAAACACATCGTTGTCCAGAATAACAAGCGCAATGTTGGGATAGTAACGGCTCCTAGGTTCGGGTTAGGCGTACTGCCAACACCCGTAATCCGCTGCAACACCGTGCAAGTTGAGACCAACGGCATCAACGCAACCGGACAGGTTGAAGGCGGCTGTCCCAGCATATAAGCGGTAGCTAGCACCTGTACCGGCCATGTATTCCTCGACTTGGGGGCACAATTTGATACCGCCGGTGCCAGACCCGTCGACGGGTAAGAAGTCAAGCACATTGCGAGCGGGATCGCAATCCGACAAGACTGTCTTGTTGAACCAACCCCCCCTTAAAGCGCCTGGCGGCTCGTATGCAGAGTGCGCTTGTGTATATTCTATCTGGCCCGAGGGCGCGACGTAGATGGCTTGGCCGCCAGGGACTTCAACCTATAAACAGACATTGCATGAGTAGCAATATTCGATCGAGAAGGAGAAGATACTCACAGCCATCCCAGTTAGGCCATCATATACTAGAGATCCTTGTACATCAGGACACGAGATGCCCTTAGGACAGTACGTTTCGGGTCCTGAGATACCGGCATAGAAGCCCTGAGCAGCGGCATTCAGCAGTGCACCGTCGACCTCGGTGTCCGGGGCGAAGACGGTAAGAAAGTACGTCGTTGCCGAGGCTAGAGTAGAGCAGGTGAGGAGGAGAGACAGCAAATACATCGTGTTGTCTTCTCCAGAATTACTTGGAGGTTGGATTGAGTTGTTTCGTGGGTTAATTAGGTAGGTAGGTAGTTAGTAGTGAGAGATTGCAGCTGAACTGATGGTTAACGAGAGTGGGTGAATCACAATGATTTTCATACGCCTCCGATTATTTCCAATGGCATCCATCAAGTACCTAGAATGAGAACTCAATCAGAGCCAGGGAGTTGAGGCCACAGAATAAAATGAGTTGAGAATCTTGAGACGACGGAAGGCGTACAACGGTTAGACATTGTGAGAGAGGAACGTCCCGTGTGCGTACTCCGTCGGATACATTTGCTCTTACCCTTCATCTTCTTTCCCCCTTTCATCTAAGGGTGATACTTTCATTTTTTGGCGTTTGCACCTTCTTTCCACTTATGATAGCAAACTGCGACCTGTGATACTCGTACGCAAAATGAGGCTATTCCCACCAAGACACCTTAACTTGAATTAGATAAGTAGGTACTTCAGGCACCACTGCCACATACCCCCTATTAAACCAAGATATGTATGATATCTATTTTACACTAGTTGTCGATAATTGATAAGTTCGACATACATCGGCTAGGCTAACAGAAGCGGATATACCGTTGAGTATGTGGATGTCCGCCAATGTCCGCCAAAGCCGTAAAGGAGGGCGAATGTAACGACGATAAGAATAAACAACAGCTGACCTCGGCCTCAGTCAGCGAGCTTGTTTCTAACCTCGAACATTCGGTCAGTCGAATGGTTTGTCGAGTGTATTTTATTCATGCTGCTATGAGGATGTTGTTCTCCTTCTCAAAAGTTCCAATGCATTGCAGGTTGATGTGCACATGCGAATTAAATAATGCATACATCGCTATGACGTGTTGAACGCTTTGGACGCTTTGGACGCTTTAAATGTTGGAAAAGCGCTTCTATACCACATAAAGCAACGAGCCTAAGCCAGTAAAACTAATGCCAATCCGTACTAACTCCACCTATAAAGGTACCCACCAACAGCCCCTGTCCGCTGCCCTGTCCGCTGCCCTGTCCACTGCCCTGTCCACTGCCCTGTCCGCCTGTAAGTTAGTGGAGCTATGGGGCACATTTTACGTACCACTTCCAAGTTCCAGAAGTTCCAGACTTTAACATTCTTGAATTCTACCCTATAACATTACGTCTACATATAGATTATACCTCTTTCGTATAATAAACCACCTGTTCAAGCAACCCTCGTCACAAGATTGGCATCTCATGCGGGCCATAGTTGAATTCGTCACTCGCCTTTTTTGGGTCATCTCGTAGCCTCAAGTCACATCCGGCGCCGTGAAACGAGAAACGAGATAATTCGTAATTCCCGTCGCACGACTATGTACATATGTATGGACGGATGCAGCAGTGACCATGGGGGCAAAAGACCATTTCATCCATCAAGACTTACCTAGGTAGGTAGGTACCTAACATGTATGTAGATTTCCTTGTTTGTTCCTGTCCCAGAAATAAACATGCATGACGAAAACTCCCCACGCCTGCCCCAGGCTTCTGACCATATTTGGACAGGTTCGAGGCAAGGACTAGCTTTGATTGGCTACGGTAGTAGCAAGGCGGCGTCTTATTCAAGCATTCAAGCTCAGTGTCTTAATGGTGATACCAATGCCAATGCTAATAACTCATCCCATAAGCCTATAATTGCCAACGAGAGCTGATGTTCTCTTCTCGGTGAACCACAACGGGCCATGATACCGGCAGTAGTATGCAGTAGTCTTGATTCAAACCAATATTATATCTCGGGAATAGGATATACTAGTCTTACATACAGCCACATACAGCTACATACAGCTACATACAGCTATATCCAGCTACATCAGTAAGCTAGGTCATACCCTAGTACCTTACAAGTGCTGTTAGTTGTTCTTTCGTCGATGTCCTTATCTCATGATGTAACTGCCCTTATGCTGCACATGTGCTCGTGCCTGTCTCGTATCTACGGTAGCTAGGCTAGAGTATAACAAACATCTCACGGCAAGGTCCTTCGTGTGGCCTGCCTGCCGTCTTGTGATCTACATGTCTATACTCTTCGTACCTACTTAAAGTCGCCGTGGCGCTAGATTTCCAAGAAAACAAGGCTCCATTCCTAGAATATATCCATGATCTCAGTGACATAACTCATAGATCATAGCTCATAGCTTTCAGTATCATTATCCGACTAACCTCGTATTACTACACCAAGTTTCTACTCTAAAACCTCAAGTCTACTGGTCCCTGGCGTGTCGAGATCATATATTTATTCATCCAAGTCTTCGTCTTCGCCCAAGTCTTCCAACTCGTCCAACTCATCTACTTCGTCTACTCCATCCTCTCTATCTTCCTATATGTCCCTATTCCGTCTCTACCCAAGACTCAGACCTATCTACCAACCATCATTTTCTCATATTTCCAAGATGGCCACCCGCAACCACCATGTCTGCTACGTAGTTCCGCCCTACATGCTCAGCGCTATTGCCGACAGCAGTAAAAACGATGACCCCATCCGCGAGTCTGCCCGCCATGCGCTCACCATTCACAAGAGTTACTGTGACAAACGAGAAAAGAGATTCGCAGCACTCTGTGCGCCTCGCGGCAGCAGGGCCGCTAACGTTCACCAGAGACAAAACATAGTGCCTGACCACATGCTTCAGCACATTGCCGACAGCGAAGATGTTGACGATGACACCCGCGCTTGCGCTAAACGGGATTTGGAGCATATTAGAAGTATTCACGCCAAGTACCAAGAATCTCAGGGCCTTCGTGCCGAGCAGAAGGCTGGTGTTACTACCGAACAAACCTCGGAAACTACTGAGAAAACTTATCGTGCCGTGTACGATGCCAAAAACGACTCCAACGAAGCCAATCTCCCCGGCAAAGTGGTTCGAGTAGAAGGCCAAAAAGCTACCAAGGACGAGGCCGTCAACGAGGCCTACGACAATGCTGGCCTTGTGCTCTCCTTCTACGCCGATATATTCAACTGGAAGTCAATCGACAACAAGAATATGCACGTCATAAGCTCGGTGCACTTCGGAGAGAACTACGAAAACGCTTTCTGGGATCCGGAGATTGCCCAGATGGTGTATGGCGACGGACACGATTTTCTGACCAACTTCACTGGCTGCATAGATGTTATTGGTCATGAACTCACTGTAAGGCGCATATTTCTTATATCAGTTACTTGCCATGTTATTGACCCTTGTCTAGCACGCCGTCACCGAACACACCTCACCTCTCGACTACACGGGCCAGAGCGGTGCCCTGAATGAACATGTTTCGGACGTCTTCGGTATCATGATCAAGCAGAGAGTCGAGGATGAAACCGCCGACAAAGCCGACTGGCTGATTGGCGAATACTGTCTTATGCCCGGCGTTAAAGGTGTTGCTCTACGGAGCATGAAGGCTCCCGGAACAGCCTACGACGACCCTCGTTTTGTAAGAACTCCTTCATATTAGCAATCTAGGGAGACTTGATACTAATTTTACTGCTACTAGGGCAAAGATCCACAGCCAGCCAACTTCAAGGACTACAAGATAACACTCGAGGACAACGGGGGCGTGCATCTCTACTCGGGTATCCCGAACAAGGCGTTCTACAACGCCTCCGTTGCATTTGGCGGCTACTCGTAAGTACCCAATTTACTTTAGGTAGTTAGCCAATCTATAGTAACTAATAAATCGTACAGATGGGAGAAAGCCGGCAAGATCTGGTGGGAGACGATGCAGAGCGGCCAGATCCCCTCCCGCTGCACCTTTATTCAGTTCGCAGACGTGACGGTGGACAAGGCCGGAGATCTCTTTGGAGATGATGCCGCGGCTATCGTCCGCAAGGCCTGGGACGACGTGGGCGTCGCTAGAAAGTCCTAGGGAGGCTGCGACCCTAGCTAAGTAAGATAATTCATTGCGTATGTGGAATGCGGATTCCAAAGGAGACTGAGAGACTGGTCGTGTCTATAAGGCTGGATGGGATGGTAGGGATTATCCTAGGTGGCGAAACAAACACTCTTTGAATTTGTAATAAGAGTCTAGGTTACCTAAATTGTTGCATCGGTTTTCCAAGTAGGGAACATTATTGAATCGAGTTTAATTAAGCATTTTCATTCCGATTATCTAGTCCACGTATATAATAGCAACCCGTATAATTCAACCGAGACACACCTGCACATCTACTACCTAAGACTCAAAGCGGAAGCCAACTGGCTTAGTATTCCAATATGAGCTGCTTAATCAACTTTCCAACAAATCGAACATCTGAGTTCACATTCTTTTTGACGAGTTCATCTAGACCCTCCTTAATCCCCTCCTTAATCCTCTCTCTTTCATTCTCATCATACCACCCTATCACATCGATGGCCTTGGGTGGCTCGTAAAAACAGAACCGCTCTAGCACTTCATCAACTAATCGACAACACCCCAACGGACAGTAGCACTCTTCGAAACTCGGTTCTAATCGGTCCAGAATTAGCCTCCGCAATTCTTGGAGGATAGTGCTTTCTGCTTACACCACTTATCAACCCAATGGGACGTATCATGGATCTGTTCTCGAAGCATCAGTTTACCTGGGGGTCCCGATACCGTAAGTAGTGCCCATAGAAACTACTACCGGTCGCGAAATTATAGACAGCGTGCTTAGTGCCTGGAATACCTGATGTTCCTCTTTCTAGGTAGTTCGGTAAGAAAACCGAGCCCTTATTGAGAATATACTTGTAGATCATATCGCGCAGCTCACGAGATCAGCTCATGAAGTCGTGAAGCTCGGTGCCAATACGCATCTTCTCCTGGTAGCGAAGCAATAGCTGATCGGCATCCATCTCAGCTCCTATCAATACTGCTCTCCGCTTATAGTACTCCTCGAGACGAGTTTCCCAAGTCTTAGTTTGTTCAGTGGTAAAAATACACCAGGGCAACCGGGTCACTGTGGTATAATGAACCCTCCCATTCTTCTGCTTGCTTAAGTGAGACACCCACTTCGTACTGAAGACACACATGCAGGCTATTGTTAGGAACTAGGAGGGCTTGAGGCTGGCGGGAGTAGGGCTGTAAACGGATGGTGGAAAAGTCAAGGTTGCGTACGAGGAATAGAGGAGGAGCTCAGATATCCAAGTACCTTCGCAAACGGTTTCCCCGGTCCCGGATTAGAGAAAGATGCGCTGGGTATCGACCTATGGGATATGCGTGTTTCCGCCTATCGCCCGCCGTCCTAGGGTTGGGTAGCTAGGTACCTACCTAACCTACCTGATAACGCACAAACAAATCATCGCGGACCCCAACTGCACTTGGGGAAAATGCGTTTGAGCTGGAAGCTTTACATATATTATATTGGCACATCGATCATATCTTAGCAAAATAGCCGGTGCAAGTTTCTGTTGTAACAGATTCTTCAACACATAAACCCGATTTCCCTGGGTTAGCCGTTATAAGAATCAGTGATCAGCTCGTAGACGAATAAATCCATCCGTAATTGACAGCAACGATCCCTCCCGTTTAACATCTAATCCACAAAGTTTACACAGCCCCGGAGGCTGTCCACAAGCTCAGAGTCGAATTCTGACAACCAAGCAGGTTCTCCTGCACTAAACTCTCGGGAGGGCTCCGCATTCTCGCATTCTTGAAAGGAGTCCGAGTCAAAGAAAAGGGGTGAGCGATCGCCCACCTCTTGAATTGAGGAAGCATTGATGGCCCTACTTTGGTCTAATGCTGTCGGGTTCAATTGCAGGTGTGTATCATAGCTAGAAGAATTAACCGAAGGCAAATCGAGGCGTTCGGACGCTTTCTGCAACTCATCAACTGTAGTAAAGCTAAGATTCGATTCCTAACCATGATCTATGCTTTCTTTCAGGACTTGAACGTTGCCAGGATATAGAGTTTCATCTCTCTTCAATGTTGGAGTTTTTTCGTCATTTTTCAACTTCTTAGATGTGCTAATCTTTTGAAGATCAGGAAATTCAGCATCAAAAATGTCGCTATAAATGTCGCTATCATACTGCATATGATCTTCGCTTTCACTCCAGGCCGCATTCGCTTTATCAGAAGCCTCTATTATCTTATCAAAGGGTTCTTGAGACGGAACAAGCGTGGAGCGGGTTTTCGAAGTGTTCATGGTTGAGAGTGAACTGACAGCTTTTTGATCCATCTCGTAGGGGAATGATAAATCCAGAGGCAAGCAATTAGTCTCATAATTGCTCCGAATTGTAGAAAGGTCGATGCATTCAATATCCGATACATCCATGTTTACGCTGTGATCCATAGCCTTGCTTTTTTTCTTAGTAGGTCTCATCCCTTTACCATCTTTTGCTGAGCGCTTTCTCTTTGTGTTAGATAGAGTACCTGTTTTCGGGAAGCTTGTGTCAGCCGTTTGCTTAGCTCCCACATAAGACTCAGAAATAGTAGCAGACATAGGTTCTACTAATCGTTTCCCGTTGGTTCTGTCGGTATTGACATTCTTGTTGGCTTGGAAGACTTCTGAATGCTTTTCTGGGACTTTGGCAGAGTCTGTCTTATCTCCCGCAGCACCTTTGTCCTTCTTATCTCGTGGTGGCGGCCTAGGTTTATCCACCCCCTCGTGGCAGCATCTGTGATTGCAAGGCTTTCCCGTGCCGGTCGGGCGGCCGTTACGGCAAGGGTGGTTACACATCCATCTTCCGTTTTCCATCTTAGCAGGTTCGGAGACTAGATGATCCTTTTCTCGGGGTAGTATATTGTCGATAAGTGGGAAATCTTCAGTGTCGTCCAGCGGACCCGAGAAATCTTGTAACTCTACCTCGCTATTCTGGTCCATTGAGGTCAAAGCAGCATTCAACATGTCTTCATCGGGAAAGTCTCCATAGTCCATATCATCCTCCGAAGATTCTATGGTGGCTGTCTGACGCTGTATCGGTTTGCCCTTCTTATTTTTGAATGCTGATTCAGGTATATCAGGCTCTAGTGTTTTGGTGACTTGGGTTCCAACAATCTCTTCGCAGCTGAAGTAACAAGATATCCTTTGATCTGAACCGCTAATCGCCACAGGGAATCTCAGATCTAGGCCGGTAGCCTTGTTGATCTTATACAGGCTTCCTCGCCAAAGGTACGCAAGGTTGCCATCTGTTGTCGAAGCCATGAATGTTACCGCTGGTATTTTATCGTTCCATTTCGGTACACCCTTTGCATTGCAATAACGAAGGTTAACTTTCACTGTTACTGTCACATCATGTTCTAGTTGTGACGGGTGCGTAGTGCCAGTGATGAGATTAGCTCCCATGGCCAGGCGGGGAAAGTTTTCCAGAGTCTTCAACAGCCTCACCCCGTACGGAGGGTTCCTGCTTGAAATACGCTCGATCTCGCCGAAGTCCCTGTCAGCGAGTCCTAGTACTGTATGGACTCCATGACTGACCCATTTCCGAACCATTACAGGGCCAGACCCTGGGATTTGAGAAAGCTGCGATGGTTTATTCTCCCACGAGTTTGCAGCGAGGGCACGGGCAAGTTCAAGGCCGATCTTTGTACCTAGCCCATCTCTATCAAATGCGCGACAATCTACAAAGCAGCGCACTAGGCGATTCATTCGATCGAATATAGCAACTTTGTCCATTGCAATTCTTTGCTTGAGAAGGCCGATCCCCTTTTCGTTTGGCAGCTCCACACCCCTAAGGTGGACCTGAATCATGACGAATATTTTATGCCAGGTCTGCGTCAAAGCCTCCTTGATTGGATAGAGGATGAAAGGAGACTTATTCAGATCTCTGAATACAGCGCGCTCATCAGGCTTGAATCGGATGTCTTTGAACTCTATAGCCTTGCAAAGTGTAGCGAGCTATAGAACTTGGTCAGCGGTTCGCCTCTAGGCGTTGAAGATTGAAGATTGAAGATTTCAAACCTACTGTCTCTTGAAGTGCGGCACCCCGAGGAATTGATAGGAGCTCCTTCATAGTCTCGAAGTTAACCATGTACCTTGACATAGCGTGTCCATATTCCGTACACCTAAATGGCGCTTGCCCAGTAACTAGCCCATTTTGCTGTAGCAGCTTGAGATCACGCTCGCACCATTCTTCCATTCTCTTGTCGGCGTCTTCCGCATTGCGGACATCTTCAAGGTGATAGAGCGATGGAGATTGACGTACTCGTACACTGAGGAATGTTCCTCCAATCCATTTCTTCGCAGTCTGGACGTCTTGGATCGTGCCCAAGCTGATTTCGGAGTTGAGATGTTCGACCAGGTTCCGATGAAGCGTGCTTTCTAAAGTCTCGTCCCCAGATATCATGCTTTTATATCGATCAACGTTTGCTATCCGAGTCATAATAATGGCCACAGCGCTATCGTCAAATTGTGGTCGGCCAGCACGACCAAGCATTTGCATAACCTCCAGGTTTGAATATTCTTGAAGTTTGTTGTCGGAGTACGCAACTGTCCCCTTTAGAACCACGGTGTGACAAGGAAGGTTCACTCCAACTGCTAAGGTCGATGTGCAACAGATAACATGAATCTGGCCATCGAGGAAGTTCTGTGCTACCGCTAATCTATCCTGTGTGTCGAGACCTGCGTGGTGGAAAGCCACACCATATCGTGCAATCTCCTGGAGCTCCGCGCTTGTCACTGAGATTCGTCTTGTCGGTGCTGGCCAAGCTCGGTCTTCCACGCTGCAGGCTGACCACCATTCAGCTAGCTTCCGAGCTGTTAGCTCGCACGACTTTCGGGTAAAGCAGAATATCATGATCGGCTTCTTCTCTGAATGCTTCGCAAGTAGCATGGCCAGCTTCCCGTCGAGAGACTTTTCGAATGAAAAATCATTCAAGCAACCCTCGTATCCGTAAACATATCGCTGTAGTTTGACTGGCCGTAGTTCCTCACCAAATGCCTCAGTCCGGGCTGCGTCATGTTGATTCGAATGGTCCCGTCCAAGCCACTTCGCGATGTCTCCAATGTTTGGGACGGTAGCACTTAAAGCAATAAATCGGATATTTGCCCCAATAGTTTTCATACGAGAAACAACAGCTTCTAATGTGGCGCCGCGAACATCTTTCAGGATATGTACTTCGTCAATTAGGACTAGACGGACCATCCCAAGTAGTTTCCGGTGATCTGACCACTTTCTGGTTATAGAATCCCACTTCTCAGGAGTAGTAACAATAATTGATGCACTGCCTACTCGGCTTGCCTTTGTTTGAGAAGTATCGCCGGTAAGTTCGATACATCCTAGATTCATATGACTAAATTTGGTTTGCCAGTCTTTCGCTCGCTCCGAGCATAAGGACTTGGTTGGCGCTTGATAGACGATTTTGTAATTCTCACTACCTGGGCTCATTACAAGCTTGCAGATAGCCATTTCCAAAACAGCTGTCTTGCCAGACCCCGTCGGAGCTGAGACGACAACATTATCGTTTGTGCCGTATACAAGTGGGAAACATCTAGATTGGACAACGTTGAAGAGCTCGTAAGGAAAAACAGCCCGGAACTTGTCGGGCAGTGCCTGCCTTGGGTCGATTAGGCGAGTAGAATTCACTGCAGGCGGCTCATCCGGAGCATGATTGAGGTTTAATTCTAACCGACTTGCTCTTCTATGAGATATAAGAGGACTATCAGCTACTTTAGCCTTTTGTTTAAGGCTAAGGCGCATAGAAGGGCTAGATCCGCCAATAATTATAGGGGAGCTGCTAGTGAGCGAGCTTTCAAACGCTGCATTTGAGTTTGGAGCTTTCATCTACGGTTAGCATGCTATAAACAACCAAACATGACTTATGACTAACCGGTATAGAAAGGAGGCGTCATCATTTGCGCTCCAGGCTGCAATTCTCCTATTCTGCCCGATCTACCACCACGCTCAAATATTGACTGGGAGCTTGGACTCGGCTTGACTTTCTCTATATGAGTTGTAATACTTGATAACGGTTGGAAATTTGGATCACACGTCGCGAACGCCCTAAAATGATGGCTTGCATCTCCTATAACACGTCTTGCTTGATTAGGGATATTGGTAAGGGGTAGTGATATGCGTTGATCACGATGTTCCGACTGATGAAAATTGGCATGTCTATGCGGTTGACCGAGTAGAGTGCGATCTATACATTATTAGGAACATCTAGTATTTCTGAATATCTAAGTTGTATTAGCTTGCTAACTTACCAAAATCATCTAAGTCCTGGTCTCCATCAGGTTCTATATCGTTTTCATTAGTGCTACTAGGAAGCTGAAATCGTGGAAATTGATAGTTGTGGTCCGGGAAAAGAGTAGTGGTATGATCAATGATGTTCTGTATATGCCTATCATGCGCTGAAGTGTACGGGAGGCGATAGTTATGGCTACCTTCACCCGGCTCTGTTCCGTTAGACATGGCGTTGATTGTAGGAAAATGACGCTTCTCGTAGA